CTACGCCCGCGCATCGATATTCTTTCTTTTAATAGCTTTTTGTTTTTCTTATTTATTTTAAAGTGTCATTTTTTTTATTCCGACAATACGAAGTGTTGTTTTAAACACTGGTAGTATTGTTTTATCATGTACCAAGCTTCTCTTCTCTTTTATCTAAACAAAAAACAAGGTTTTTTAAATAAGATTTTTCACAGTTTCTCGAAATGACGATGTATTTTCGCCACACAAGTGATAAGACGCCTGATTGCGCTGTATCTCCCCCCATGGAGCAGCCATTCTTTTCTGTCGTGAAAGTTTAATCGGAGACACATGGGTGGAGAACGCGTTTACATTATTTTTTGATTGCATTCATGACGTGTGATATTTTTTTTTTTTTCAATAAATCGCTGCATTCAACACGTACTTCGTGCGAAATAACAAAAGCGCGCGCGAAAATTTTTCACAAACGCTATTCGCGCGAAAGCAAAATCGAAAAATTACACGCGCACATGGGAACAAGTCTTCGGTGTCCTGAGTGCTAAAATTGATAGGATTTTTTCACCGATTTTTTCCGAAAAATATCTGATCTGTGTGATCGAGATAATATTTTTCGCATATCGATTTTGACTTTAAATTAAACGTATAGAAAATGAGAGAGAAGTGTTATATTACACGGGATTACAAAGCCACAAAGCAGTGCAACAATGATTTTTGACTTAATTTTAATTCTAAATCGCGATTAGAAATTTAATGACACAGTTATTTCGTTACGAAAAATGATCGCGTGTATTAAAACGGATTTTGTTTAATACTTACATTATTTTAAAAAATATTTCTTTTCACTTATCCTCTTCATAGGATTATTATGTATGCTCTAGCATGATCGATAGCTCTGATAATTAATTTGATTGTCATTCTAAATCTGACACTCGATAAGAATGCCACGCGCGCGAATAATTAAATTCCGGAGGAATTCGTATAAATCCCCGATTCTGTGGCATTGCGCGTACAGCAGAATTACGATCGTTGTTCATTAATCAGAAAAATATGTAACGAATGGGCGGGCATTATATAATGGTATCGATCTGCGTAATGCACGATTTCAATAATAATCTACTTGCGTTCGATGTTTTCCAACGAACGAGCGCACATTCGCAAACATCGTGTGATAAAAATTAAAAATTTCCGGATTAATCTGGAAACTTCGTTTTTCTTTTTTCATCAACAATATCTTTTTATACACAGAGATTCCATTTTGTCCCGGATATAAAAAGCAAAGAAACGCCGGAATAAGGAAAATAATGTTTGCATGCAATTTCGAGCTACACACATAGTTTCGGAGTTCGGAAACGTAAACAGATTACAATATGTAGATAATTCTTGAAGAGATAAATTCGTGTTGCTTTCTAGATTAAATATCGAATTTTAGTTTTAGCTGCAGGTTTGCACGAGTGAATTTTTAACCTCCTCATCGATGTATATTAAAACAAAAATGATATAAAGTTCTAAGCAAAAGGTAGTTACAACTTTGTTAAAACGGGTTTTGATCAAACTTGTTGAGACGTTATCTCCTTTTTTAAAAGAAAAAAAAGTCCGACTTTCTTCAACTTTTCAATTTCATAATAAAGTGAAAAGCTCTCTCTTACAAATTGCGATAAGAGAACAATACTTGGATGCTTCTCAGTATTCCTTTCGAGACAATGATTATTTGTATATAATGCGGGCGTTATAAAGTTAAAAATTATTAGTTTCTTGAGTAATCCGTCTGTATTATCGAGAAAACCGAGTGATAAAAAAGATTCGCAAATTACGGAGATAATATTTTTCTATTCCGTTTGTTTTTACGGTGTGAAACGAGTTAAATTAAACACGAATGATATGTTAGTTGGACAACGTTGCAAGAAAAAGTTGTCGTGCAAAAAAAAAAAAAATGCGCGGGTTCAAGCGAAAAGATAAGTCGCGCATAAAGATGAAATAGTGAAGGGATTTAGAGAATAATTAGCGATAAGAAATGTATAAAAGTACAACACCGAAAAAAAAATGAAAAAAATTATGTAAGTAGATATAAAAATGTAAATGTGTGAGATCGCGCGCGTGAGATCTCTTTCTCTTATAATAGAAAAATCACGATTACTTAATTAAATTATTAATAACGCACAAGTGCACAAGCTCGAATCAGCGAAATTTAAGCTGAGAAATATGAAAATGAAGTCGCACGTGCTACATTTACTTTTTGGGAAAAACCATCGGAGTCATATGCAATTGACGATGAAATGCAATTAAGTTTCAAGCGCAAAATGCGTCGGGAGAAGGGCGCGAGCGTCGTCGTCGTAAACTTAGATTACAATTTTCCCGTTGATTTACTGGTTTTAACAAGACTTTGGATTCCAAAGTTGCTGATGATAAACGCATCGTATTTCATTTCTATTCTGCGAGAAATGTCGAGAGAAATTTTAGCGCATCTTGTCGATGCAAACTGTTTGAAAAATCAAGCAAACGTGTACAAAGTTCATTAGGAAAGTATATCCGTTGTAAATAGTATGTGGGAACAGAAGGTCTCTCTCGGAGAGATAGATGCACAAGCGTGAGAACCGAGATAAAGCTTGTAATACGCAAAGAAATACGACGGTATCATCTTGCATGGATTTTCCAGAAGAAAAATGTTTCCACATCGAGAAACGACTCTCGCAAAAGCGACTTTCTCATATTTATTTATACATATATTTCATAAAGAAATTTTATTGCGCAAATAGCGCGCAAAATAAAATTTAGATGTTGACATTTGAATAAAAATATATTTCTCAATTTAGAAGAAAAACAAAGTTAGTTGAGCTCGAAATATCGAATTTTTATTTAGCTCTAGTTATAAGTTATAACTTGAAGTCTTGTATTTATGTTCTTATATATATTTTTACTCGTCAGTTTTCAAATTTAAACATTGTTTCATTAATCTCAGTAAAACTTTAAAAAAATATTTAATGTAAAGATCAAATGATTTTTAATTGCACAATTTTTTGCAGCAAATATCGAGGAGAAACACACATTATAATTCAAATCCTCCGTATAATGCACTCCCGGACCAGACGACTAATTGATTCTAAGAATAGATTCTGATTTCGTATTCTCCGTCACGGATCACACCGCCGAACTGTGCAAAGAACTTTTCGAGCTAAACGTGGCAAAAATATAAAAAAGTAATAAAACAAGTATTGTTCGCATGTAAAACCTATTGTATGTAATCAAACAATTATAATCTACATTATATTTGTATGGCATATAATAGCATTTTAACACATTAACGCATTCCGCAATATATTGCTGTGTACAAAAAGTTAATTTTTATAGAGAGTTAACCGCTAGAGAATTACGCAAAAAAATTGCAGTTGTTCCGTTTGTAGTTAAGGTTTGTAGTGAGCGAACGGCGCGAGGATTGGTGTCGTGAATTTTGTAACGAAGAGAGAGCCGCGCGGGAGTACGGAAATGGAGCACGCGTGCAAGATTGCCGGTGCGGAAATCAGACAGATATACCACAATTACTGACATACACCTGCGTCGCGCACATGTACGCACTAACCGTAGAATTGTTTCAAACGAACATGAGAACGTCGCCGAAGCGATCAGCCGTGTCCAACGGCACAATCGATTCGCTCTTGATATCCTACTTGTACGGTCGGATGCAATATGAAGCTCACGTACGTTGCACTTGAAAAGATTATTTCCCACGATACACAACGCGTCTATACTTATCTCGTATCAGATCTCTCAGACGATAAAAAGCATTATTTGCCGCGAATGCGTACGGGAAGAGGAACATTTAAAGCGCCATCGAGTGGTGTTTACGCGAACGGAAACAAAAGAGAAACACATGCGTTTAATATTAGTAGATATACTCTATGCATGTAAGCCCTTTATTACCCTTTCATTTTGTTACACGTAGATTATTCCATGCATTGTGAATCACGTGTAATCAGGTCTTTATGAGATCTGTCACGATCGTCGTGTATTTCTGAAAACGAGAAATTTCCGCCCGCGATCTTATTCTCCAGATTGTAAACACAATGTGTGATAATGCAAAGCAAATTGCGTTATTAACACGAATTGCGAGCGCGTTATGAGAAACAATAACGGTTGTTACCTTATTTTGTCGTAAATTCCGAATAATATGATATTCCGTTAACACTTTTCCGGCACTCCAAATTGTCATACTACTTCCAAAATCTCGACACGTAGTGAAGCGACGTCGATCGGTTCTGACTTTGTGAAAACCGCCATCTACGTATAAATCATACGTTATAACCGTGATTGTGTTTGGTGTCGAAGGTTTGGTATCCTTGAAAATCAAATTTGAACGTTATGAAGACCGTTCTCGATAGTCGTGTATCGAGTTACATTATCACTCGCTACCGCTCGTTGTGTGTTACAGTAAACTGGCGAGGAACGAAAGAAATAAAAATTCAATTGAATTTCGCGTCAATTTCGATTTTTAGTGACAATAGAAAACGAAAGAGAGAAAAAGCGATAACGAAACGGTTTCGAATGTTGTTCCGGTACTTCGATATCCCAAATAAAATATAAAATAACACCGAAAATGCACGTAAACCTGTACTGGTGATATCGCAGTTTATTTTTTAACGAGATTGTACCGCTAAAAAAAAACAATCGTGGTAAAATCAAAAAGATAATGCGATAATCTTCAAAAGAAGATAAAATTATTGTTTAGTTTATTTTTACAAAAACAATTTTCAATAAAAGATAAAATAACGAAGAGAAAATAAATATTTTGCTCTCCCTGAGAAAGATTTAATTAAACAGTCTGCGCAGTATCGAAAAACACTTGTGGAAACGCATCGATTTATCGTACATTTTTGCTTAACAACTTATTTATATTTCTTTTCGTTATTCTGAAATGATGTATTTCTGAATGATATTTTCGTATATCATAGTTTTCTTTTCTTTTATTCGACGAGAAACAAAATGGAATTACATTTGTATGTGAGATAAACGTATTGTTCTTTTGCCAGTTTACAGACTTCCGAAGCTGCTGCGACAGAAGATTCGGATGGCAAAGCGGCTCGCGGTTCGCCGTAAAACAGCGATTCACCGTAAAAGCGTTTATGCGGAACTCTCTTTCGACGAAGATGCGAAGACGATAAAAACCGATCCGATTCTCTTCATGAAACATGATCGAAGATAATACACAGAGTAAGATAAATCGAGTGTAGCGAGGATTGACGTTATGGTGCCTGAGCTCGCTCCGAGATCTTTCGACTTCAAAAGACGGCACCAGCTCGAGTCGTCAAATCGATATCTGATAACAAAGGTGTGAAAGATAATTTTTTTTCGCTAAGGAATATAGCCTTATATATTCCTTATCAAGAAAACTCTATCGATTTTAACCGTCATATATTTCTATCCATTTATGAAACTTTTCTTTCCAACACGAGTTCTGATAAAAATCAAATAATTCGGAAAGAATAGCAAACTACATATATCTATGCAAATGGTAAACTTCATACGCGCTCGTACAATAGAAGAAGAAAAGTAAACTTCGAAGATCTGATAATGTGTCATACGAGTGCTGGTGCAACTTTAAAACATGTCTATACTTTTGACGTGAAAAGTTTTACACGATAAGACTCTTTTGTGATGTTCCTTCCTCTTTTAATAAAAAAAAAAAAAAGATCTAAAAACATTTTATGTAGAAGATACTTCGCGATTTCTCCTCACTTGCTCGCAAAACGATTTGCTTGACAATATCAATTTCAAGTGAATGGGCTATAAAACAAGGTTTTTAAATTTAGAAAATCGCACAGTGTAATTTTGTACACAAATACCTATACAGTAAATGTTACATGGATAATATTTGCAGTTGCCGAATTCGAAAAACGCGAAGTTTCGATCGAAATTGAAGCCAAGCAGAAGAACGAACCGAAGACGAACGAGGACCAACTCGCGGGGGTTGAAGATGGTAACGTGAAGTGGCAGTGGGATCGAAGATTAGGTATTGGAATATCGGAAGAATAAGTAAAAAATTCGCAAGACTGAACGATGGAAATAAGCTCCACCGACAGCTACGATGTTGGCCAGTTCGCGCAGAACTTCAGCATCGAAAACGTCAGCAGTTTGCCGATCGAGTGCAAACAGCTGGTCAACTTCAATGGCTTATCTGACTTTATCGTCTACGGCGTACTTATGAACTTGATCGGTCTTTTTGGGATCTTCGGCAATACCATCTCAATGATCATCCTGTCGCGGCCGCAGATGAAATCGTCCATTAATTACTTGCTGATCGGACTGGCCAGATGCGACACAGCACTGATCATCATCTCGGTAAGCGTGTCTCTCGCAATTTATTTCGGTTGTTCCGATTTCTCCGTGTGCAAACAATGCAATATTTTTGTTTCAGAACAATACGTTGCAAGACACGTACAAAACTTGAGCAAAACTCAAAAATAGATACTTTAAAAAAAATAAAAACATTTTAAGAAGCATTAATTCTTTGTGAACAGATTGCAAAAATGACAACTAGTTAGACAGACTGAGTCTGTGAGACCTGACTTTGAATATCTTCGAAAAATCAATATTTTTCCTATTTTAATTTTTAAAATCGAAAGTTTGAACGATTCTGTATCAATAAAGAAACTAAATTTAAAAACTTTCTGGTAGTTTCGAGGATATAAGCGGGAAGACCCATGTCTGTTCGCGAAGAGTTAATTAATATAAGTATAGAAAATAATTTTTTTGTGTACACGCGTTTTATTTCTTGATGCTTTGAAGAAATTATGTACAAAGAAGTTACATAAAAACCAGTAGAGAAACATTTATTTACTCTTCTTTTAAACATTTTTACGAGTTTGCGCGAGATCAAAGTTAAAAACGTTAATGGTAAAAGAATTTTTATACAACATCGTAAACTAGAATATCGAAAATTTGAAGTAGTAGAAGTTACCATTCGGTTTTAGTGGTTGAATTATTTCTCTTTTTTTTATGAAGAAAAGACATATAAAAAAGCTAACATATCATAGCTAATATATTAAAATATCAAGTAAATATTTCTTACACACGTGGGATTATATATAAACAGATTATTTATTTCACATTTTCAATACTCGCTATGAATATTTTATTTGCGCACACACGATGTGTTATTAATTTCAGAGACGATAAACCGACTAAAAACCGAAATATAGTTTTAGCATGCAATCATTTTATTTGCAATAAACACTACACAAAATTTAAATTAAATTTAAAACGAAGAACATATACCTATTTTTTTAATAAAAATATGCGGTAGATAAAAATAATTACATGCAACTTAATACGTTGACCACTTTGCTTAATTCTTTTTTGCAATCTGTAAATATAACGATGACGTTTGATTAATCACAATCTGCCGATCGGAAAATCAATCAATGTTTAATTGGCACAGATGACCAGAAGCGATTCTCGATAGGATCGTGCTGTAATTGCCGTTGGATTACCTAACGTTTATCGTCGTCGCATTTAACCACCGGCTATCAGTCGTACATCCTCTCTACAGAGTACAGATCAAATTTTTTCCAAAATAACTTAACATCTTTCTTTGTATCGTTTTTCAAGCCATCGAGTTGCATTTTGAAGGGCTTATCTTTATACGCGCCTTGTTGCCGTTTCTCAAGCTTTTATTAACCGATATAAAATATTGTCGAAGGCACTCATGTTGAAGGCGATAACGGTGTCGACTTTTCCGACACAATAGATTCAATTCTTTCACTCGTATTTACTGAACATCTTGCAAAATTTGAACGCACAACGCGGAAGAGAATGCTGTTTTTACAAAAGAGAATGCTGTTATTACAAAAGAGAATTTGTTATATTAATTAAATTGCAATTGGAATCGAGAAATCTGTTGATTTTTCTAGCTCACCTCTCGCACAGCTTTTTTAAATAAATCTCTTTTTAAATAAATCGTTTTAATAGAAGTTTTTAATTTGAGATTTTTGGAGCTTTTTTTTTTTATTTCTTCAACTCTTTCTTAATTTGTTTGCGTGCGCAAAAATATTAATCTAATACTAAAAGTTTTAAAAACTTCAACAAAATATATTATTATATTGACAAAGTCCAAAATAATCAACTTTTATATTTACGATAAATAAAAGATTAAAGTATAGAGCAGAGAATTGTGCGCGAGTAACTTATATACAAACGTGAAACGTTAACTTACGGTTGAAAGCTCCGGAGGTTTATTATGAAAGTGTAATCTAGTGAGTTCAGTTAATATTTCATACATAACAGCAAGCACGGTTTTAATTAACATTAAGATATTCTACGTACAAATGTATCTGTTAATCACAAAGCACAATTTACTTTTTTATTTTTTTCTCCTAAATTAATAAGAAATTTTTAAGCTTGTGATAAGATTCTATTAAGGTCGATACAAGCCAATATGTGTTAGGGTATTATGTGTTAGGTGTATAAATGCAGATAAATTTTTTTTAAATTGTGCAAATTTATGAAAATTTGAGTTAAATTTAATTCAAAACTTTACAGGATGCTTGGTTTGCATCTCATATATGTAAAATACCTCAATTTCTCCCTTATAAAGTAAAAAGTAATAATAATGTAAGTAATTAATCTTTGTCTAATTATATACGTGTTTTATTAAAAAACAATAAGATATTGTGTCTGTAAAAAAAACTTGTTATCGATCAATTTTTGTCGTGCAAAGCGGTAGTGATTAAAGCTTCTTGTTTATATGGAGATCGCGAAAGGGGTGGTTTAATAACAGATGGTAAGTATCAAAATTCAATTTTCGGAAAGCGTGCCCGCGATACGGGCTTTTAACATTTTATCGCAATGTAATCAGGTGCTGACCTCTCGTTTTAATTTTGCTCTCAAAACCCGTTTCACACGAGTAATAATTATGCGACGCGTATAATATCGTGCTGAAAAAAAAAAAAAATTCTCTTTGATATATTCCAGTGGCGCGTCCCAGTTTATCTCGCGCAATTTAAGCTGTTTCTCGAAACGTAGAATTTATATCTTCATCTCTATTTTCATAATACTATGTGTCAAATGTACACACGTTTATGTACGATCTGGATTTTACATAATCCCGTAACACATGCGTCGAGAGACATAATAAAAAAAACACGCTAATGAACGCAAAAATAAACTTTGTATAAATAATGTAAACCGATATTTTATTAAGAAGAAAAAGAATTTCATATTTTTATCAAGTGCGTATAAACGTTCGTCTCTTTTACTTGTCTTCTTTTTTTCTCTCGAAAGACTAAAATCTCTTTCTATATTTATGAATTACGGGAAATAATGTCAAAGTGAAAGTGTTTTTGCGAAAAATAAAAACCTATTGATTGATGTGTCGGGACGAGATTTATGTCTTTTCGATTCGTTCTCGTAGAACGTTCAGCGATTCGCGACGCATATGGGAAGAAATGGATCGTCAGGAGGGAGTAATGTCGTGTGTCAAAAACACGTTGTTTGTCAAGATAATATGAATTACGCGTTAATGTAAATACGCACATACAGCGTGTACAACGTCACGCTGGTTTCTCGCTGATAAAACCAAGATTAGCAAGATTGACGTAGTTCGGATAATCAGGAGCATCCTGATTATCCGGGTAAAAGTAGCGATGAAGTGAAAAGCTCGTACGCAAGATCCTGCCTATCCTCTCGACGCCGCATTATGTAAACCACACCGGATTATTAATTAATCATCCAGAGAGAACTCCCTCGTACCCTGCTTTCCCTTCACGAACAAACTATTTGTACACTCGTCGATCAAACGTCGCGACCATAAAGGCACTGCGAGACATAAACAGACGTTTTTGTTGTAATATTTTGTTGTAATAACCAAGAATATTTACAATCGAGAAGATTCGTCGCAACTAAGACGAAACAGCATCTTAAAAAGAAAAGTTTTTGCAAAAAAATAAAATAATTAAAACAGTTTAAAAGTTTATGAAACTTGTAAAATTAGTTGTAAAATAATTAAAACGGAATTTGTTTCATTATGAATTGAGAGATCGAGAAATATTTTATTTTATTTTGATTTTGTATTTTTTTTCTATATTTATATTTTATTATTGTAATGTTGTTATAATTTTTTAAAAACATACTTTATTTTAATATATTTTTTATATAATTATTTCAATATATTTTAATTATTTTTCGGTAAAAATTAAAGTAATCAAATTCACAAAGAAAAATACGTGATGAAGTCCGATACCTTATGCAAGAAGCTCTTATTATTATTATAAGCTGTCTTTTGTGCGACAATATTGCTTATAATACATACGGTGTACACACATGCTTGCAGGTATTGATCTACGGGTTGCCAGCCATCTACACGTACACGGGTTTACTGTTCAACTACAAGTTCTTTGTCTACCCGAAAATCATCGGGTACCTGTACCCATTGTCCTGCATAGCGCAATTCGTTACGGTGTACCTGACGGTGACGGTGTCGTTGGAAAGGTACATCGCGGTCTGCCATCCGCTAAAAGCAAGATCTTTCTGCACTTACGGACGGGCTCAAGTGGCAGTGTTGGTTATAGTAATCTTCGCTTTTCTTTACAATCTAATCAAGTGAGTAATCGACGTATTTCTTCATTCAGAGTCGTTAAAAAACAAAATGTTAATAATATTCGATCCAGAGAGAAAGAGAAACATAAGTTTCAATAAAAATTATTTGTTAAACTTGATTGTTTACCTCCTTCCTGAACCATAGGCTCTGTGGTTTTTTACCTTTCTTTGTTGAACTTGTTGTAAACTTGTTTACACCTCGTGTTCTCGAAGTAATCAAACATAATATATTTACAACGAAGACAATAAAGATTAGAAGCTATAATTACACATATATAGCCTGTGATAAGTTAAAAAAATAAAGAATTAAAAAAATTTGATTTATAGATTTTGGGAAATTGAAAAATTCTCCGAAAATCATTGGAAGTATAACATCACGATATACTGCGTTCAGCCGACCACGTTGAGAGGCAACGAGTATTACATTACCATTTACATACACTGGCTGTACTTCTTCTTTTACTACATGTTGCCGTTCGCCGCGCTGCTGATTTTCAACGTGGCCATTTACCGACGGGTAAGTACTATTGTACAAAATCCAAAAGCTTTTATCTACCTAAAATTTTATCGCTCGCACAGCGATAAAATGCAATATTTTATTTTTCTTTTTTTTTTATTATGAAATATAATACATCACGTAAAAAAATAAAATCATTTTGTTCTATACGTGTTTAAATTGTTTTTTATATTTTCTTTTACATTACTCTACTTCTCGTGAATATTAAATTATGTAAAGATCCCTCACATATATACGAATTATCTGACGACGTTGACGTTGGCAAAGAGAAAAATAGTTCATTTTCGCAAAAAGCAAATGTCAACGTTTGCAATCGATAAATTCTGTATCGAGAATATAACAGCAAGAAACATTGACAATTCGAAATGGAACAGAGAGCGGAGCTGGATTAAACGCGAGATATTGGAAGGTGTGTCAGTGGCAGAGAGATTCTCTGATAGAAATAACATTTTTCAACTATCGTTTCGTTTTATTAAAAATACTTTTTTTTTCGAATTCGTGTGGAAGTAAGATAATTTCGATAAGAGAACGGATAAAGAAGAAGCGGATGATCGGGTCGACGTAGCGAATAGGTTTTGATCGTGCAAAAAGAAGGAATGGAACGTACAAAACACAGAAGAAACCGGGGTGCGATGAAACCAATAAAATTATTCGAAGTGCATAAGTGTTCTTCCGCATGTGTGACACATTTGGAGGGCGTGCAAGCTTTTATAGAATAGGCGAGCACGTATGAGGACGGCGAAATGTCTCCCCGCACACGTACTACTTGTGCGAACTGCAATTGCAATATTATCCACCCTCTTCCGTCTCGGGCATGATACGTGAGACATTTCCAATAGAAGTTGGTGTGTTTCTAGCGAGATATTGTAAACTAATGCGCACATATATATCTTCAAAACTGTTTTGCAGATAATGATACAAATAAGCTTCTCTCACACAATCTTAACTTTCTCTTAAATTACGAATTTGACGGATAAGATTAGCAAGCGGTAAAAAACGGTAACAATTGATTTAATACAAATTGTAAAATTTTAGCACGCAAAAAAATTTAACGAGAAAGAGAAAAATATTTAAAAATATTAATAATGAGTATTAAATAATTAAAATTACAATAAATATAAAAAATAAAAATTAAATATTAATAGTAGGGAAAACCCTCGATGTAAAATTAATAATATAGCAAGAATTGTTTTTGTTCTTTCATTATTTTCACAAAAGAAGAAGAATTATTTACTTTCCAATTAGAAGTGTTACTGACATTCAAATAAAAGCAGAGCACGTGAACGTAATGGCGTTGTGTGATAAGACTTAACCGCAGGGTAGTTTCGATTGGATCCGCACAACCACTCTTGAGACTTCGAAATTGCAAAATCAAGTTTGTCGAGGAACAACTATTTCCTTCGGATTTGGCTTATCGCAAAACTTTTTAGATTCGGCGTATTTCCTTTAATTTCGGGATCAAAGTATGATTTTTGGCGCGACGTCGATGTCGACGTTTCTTCGACAACTTTTGCGACAGTTTTAACGCGAAAGCGCAGACGCAGAAATTCGATGAGAATATTCATGCGGCAAAGAAAGACAGTCACTTAATCCTAGCTCGGGATTCTTGCTTCTTAGTGAAGTTGAGATTGGTTAATAGTTCTAATTCTTGCGAGAATTTTAAAGAACAATTTCGCTTTACTCGTCAGGAGATAAATTTCGAAATGATGCAAACATCGGTATACGATACACTTTTTATAGACTCAAAGTTTATTCTTTTACTGTCGTTAATAAAAAAAAAAAAAAAAACTGTCACGTCATCACGCTGGAGTTTTCTATTTTCACACAGTCATAATTTTTTATATAAAATCAATTCTCATTGTTGTCTTTACTACAAAGGCGGCAATACAAAGAATGTGACTCAAATACTGCTAGAGAATATGCTACAGGACAAACATTTACGTTCAAACGTCCCGCTTTTATTTACACAACTCCGAGTTTGCAAGGATATGTGATTTATCTTGTTTCCGTTTTGTTTCGGTGTGAGAGACAATCTTAGATAATAATTATATTAATAATTTGCGCGAAGGGTGTACCATATGAACCGGATGTGATAATCCGAAGGTAACGCGCGGCAATTCGGCGATATGCGACGCGCATAATAATTCGACGAAGCGGCGCGAAGTCTTAACAATAATTAGCTACGCCACTTTGTCGCGGTAATTGTTTTAGCAGACAAGCACGTAACACGGCTCCCACGCTACGGAAGCTGAAACAGCGGCAAAATCAGGAGAATGCCGCCACAGTAGCAGAAGCAAGAACTAGACGAGATAAACTGGGAGAAATTCATGACGCAGAATTTCTCGCCCATCTTCTTTTGAAATTAATTTAGAAATATATCTCTGTGAGAATTTTCCTGCGCTCTGCGTTTTCCTGCCTCTCTAATTTCTTAATGTTTTTAGCAAAACTTACTTGTTCCAGATCGAGAAAACAATTTTAATAAATGTTAATAAATTACTTAATAAATTAATTAATAAGTTACTTTCTCGGGCAAATATATGAACCAATGAAACTGACCGTTAATTTTCAACTGATAACAGACGCGAACACATTCGATTTATTATATTGCGCATTTTGTAATGTGAACGACCATTGAAAGACTTATAATTTTGTTACTTTTTTTTATTTGTTGATATGTATTTTTAAACAGACTGTGTCTGGTTTTTATCAGTTTTGTGGACAATTTATAGCAAACAAATCTCGCAAAAGAATTAATTCCTATTTAGGTCGAAAGTTGCTCATTGTCTTATTTGTTAAATTCACTTAAGTCCTCTATTATTCAAATCAATTGAATATTAATAAAATCGTAAAGTGTTAATATAAAACAATATGAGTAAACAGTTATACGTGTATTGTACATCTCCATTCTATACGTGGAATTATTTTGCATCGTCTATTGTTCTACACATTGCTATCGACTTGTTGATTATTTCCGAAACAATACAATTATTTTATATACGTGCCTTCCAGCCAGGCTATTCAAATAGTATTTTATCTTTATTTAATATATTAAAACTTTGATTTAATATATCGAACTGGTTATCTGGTGCGAATATATATATATACCGAGATTCCCCGTTGTTTCATAAATCATAATTCAGGAAATTCACCAAGTTTCTTGTTGCGTGTGTTTACATCATAACGCGCGAGTACACATGTTGCTCTTGAACAACTATTATAGCCATGAAACCTTATACATATATGCGCATATATCTATGGACCTACATAAATGTTGTACGTAGGCAACTGTACATATAAACAACTGTTTTTTATCTACTGCGTAATTATCTCAAGATGAGTCCATGTTATTGTATTTCGCTGTTGAGAAACTATCGCCAATAAACGAGGTCTCCAAGATTAATCGTTCTCGCGAAATTCTTCTTTTACGTTTCGTTTTATTTGGTCGGTAGTAAAATATCGCAGCTTGTCTGGCATTTATTTGGCGCTGTCTTACGCATTTCCGAACGGTGCGGCGTGGGCGAGAAAAAGAAAAAGAAAGAGATAGAGAGAGTTTCGAACCTCGGGAAACAGCCTGGGTCGAAAGTAGAATGCAAGCGAGAAATATATGACGGGTGTAAAGCGCAGAAATCCTGAATTTCATGCGCCGATCGAACATCCCTTCTTGGCATATCCCGCGTTTTCCGCATACACGCAAAGGATCAAATATTATTGCGCCAAAGATCCCGGTGTAGAGTAACACTGCAGCAATCACAAGGAAGATATATCGGTAGCTTTTATAGCGAGAAAACGGGAAAGATATATATATATATATATATTTATTTATATCCAAAGCACATGAACACGACATGACTATATATAGATTTTGTACAAATGTATTATTTACACAATAATATTGATTTGACGATATTGTTGATTATTAATTTATTGTAAGCTATTTTAAGTGCAACAGAAAAAAAAAAACTAATGTAACTTGTTAAACTTTGAGTATAGATTAATTTAACTATCAATTAATTTTTTTTCTCTCTTTGTTATTTCGGAAATAAATTCTAATAAAATAGTCGAAAAATGTTGATAATTTGATAATTTCAATATCTCGGTAACTAATCTGAGTCAGACAAAACGCTCTTCGAGCGAGATGCTTCTGGATTGAGAACTTCACGGTAAGTTTGCGCGAAGCTTTATCCGCACAACGCGATTTCTCGCAAACAAAGAATTCGATTTCTCGCTGAGATTTCGTCGCGAGATACTTACGGCTTCGCTTCGAGGAGCGATCGTAAATCTTGAAAAAAAAAGCAGGTCAGACACAGTTAAAGCTACGTCACGCCTGGGACCACTGCAAACACGATGTATATCTCACAACTTTGTACCGAAATAATACGCGATTCGCTATAATGTGAACACCAGCTTCAATATGTCCCGGGAGCTATTATCAGTTTTTACGTGGCAATGGGGAGTCGTTTAAGCTATAATTTTAATACGTTAAGATTCTCTTACCTTTCTCGTGACTTCTGTCTTTTCTCTTAATTTTCTTGTTTTCAAAAGTTTATTCATTTAAACAGAGAGAGAGAGAGAGAGAGAGTGAGAGAAATTTGTAGATAATTAATGTACTAATAATAGTAAGTTAAAAGCTCACTTATTTTTAGTGTATTTGATTTTATTTTAATTTAATGAATTTTTCTATATAATTAATCAATTTCACTAATTATAAATATATAATTATTTCTGTTTTTCAATTTTTTGTTGAGAAATCGATGTTCTTGAGAAGCACCGGTATATTTAATGCAAATTTAATTAAGCTTTGTTTTTTATGGAGTAAGATTGTGTTTCTTCTTTATCTCATCTTTCCGGTTCTTCGTTTACGTAGCAATAAACGATTATTTTGTCTCGTCTTGACAAAACGAGAGCTCGTTCATTAACCCTCCGTTGACTCTGTAATTAGCCGCGGAGTTGTTTCAAAAGCGCCGAAAGATTGATTTTTCTTTTTTTCCCCCGCTTATTCCAGAGTTGTCATGGTCATTTACTTGTCACTGTATCTACATCGCGCGTGTGACCGACAGTCAAGAATTTAATTTGAGAAAACTAGTTACCTTAGAATGTCTCGTAAATCTTCTTATATTAGACGGTAATTCTATAATATTAGTCCCTCGAGATAAATAAATATACCGCAACTCGCTCGTTAAAAGAATATCATCATTGACGCTCGTTAACTACATATAAATGTTTTTCCCTGAAGAGTCTTATATTTTAAAGTGTATTAAAAAACACGATAAACTATCAAAGTAAAATAAACACCGTAAACGGTTATTTTATAGTATTTTATAACATTGAACTAACTTGAATTGTGTTTATCTCTTGAAAATAAAACTATTGTTAATTTACTAAAGTTAATTTTTTTACATTCTATCTTGCGCTATACTTATGTTCTATTTTAAGACGTTTATTAAATAATTCGAATTCGAAAGCTGCAGGCTAAACGTCATTTATTTTTTTCTCTTAGTCTAAATTTAGAAATTTTCCTTTTATTAACGTTAACAAGAGATTAATTTTGTCGCGAAATATTCCTAATTAAGTTTTTGCAAATTTTGAGCAAACAGGAAAAATATAAGCTGTAATGAGAAACTTTATGCTTCAATTTAAGCTGTTGCGACGCGTCAAGAAGTAAAGAAAGTTAATACATGTATTTCTTTCTCATAAACTTATACTTTTTTCCAGGATAATTTTCTGGTTAATTAAACTCTGTTTTCCGGAGCACTGCGAGATTTTTAACACAATAATCTCAACACACTTAGTAATATAATACAATTAGATAATCAAATTGTGGTATATTATCTACTTCTAAACTAGTTATCCGATCTTTTGTCACAAGAAAAAATATTTATCATTCCTCGTAATGTAATCTCAGTACGGTATAATCTTGTATCAAGAAATGCTATAACATATTTATCCTTGTTCCGATAAATATATAAGAAGTAACGTGCTTTTCTGAAATAACATTTTTTTTGCTTTTTATTGCTCTTAACTGTAGTTTTTCAAATAAAAATCGCTTTTTTATTTCACTTTTCCTTTACGTCTTTCACAACGCATTTTTGCGTGTATGCTGATTTTTAGGTCAGAAAAGCGAACAGGGATCTCCAGGAGCTGTCGCGTCATCAGCGTCGTGAAATCGGTCTGGCGACGATGCTGCTGTGCGTGGTGGTGGTGTTCCTGATCTGCAACGTTCTGCCGCTGGTCTCGAACATCTACGAGAACTTCATCGAAGATCCGCCAAATTGGATGGTGCAGACAGGCAATCTCCTGGTGACCATTAACAGCAGTATTAACTTCATCATTTACGTGATCTTCGGCCGGAAATTCAAGAAGATATTCCTCAAGCTGTTTTGCTCGTCCAAGCTGTTCGGACCTGGCCGTGACAGTCCGGAATTTCAGAATTACGACGAATCGATCGTCACCAACACGACGAACATCGAGCTGAGGAACTCGGTCAGACGCGGTCATCTTCATCGCGCCAACACCATAAGTTACAACAACAACATTCACGTGTCCAACGGCAGCACCAGACAGAGCGTGAAGAGCAGCAGTCCCGGAACCAGCGTTTATTATCCGCCAAGAAGTCCCAGTCAGATGTCGAGGGCGTCGAACGGTCGGAGGAACAGCTGGGCCAGAAAAGAAAATGGCGATTCCACGCTGTAGTGAACAGTAATTGATGTTCTTATCGTTTACATAATGTAAGGATCACAACTAATTGTTTTTTCGTCAAATATCAAGAATTTCTAATGATTCGCACCGACGGAAGAATCAAGAAACTGATTTATTACCGCAACGCTGAATAAGTGTCATTATTTTTTACATTTGTTATCTCGCAAAATAAAAAGAATCAGGTTGCTTCGACCGGTGAGATCGAGATTTTTTTTGGTTGGTCAAAACATGAAGAATAATAACGATGTTTCACGCAGCAATGTCTATAATAAATAAAACAAAAAACTGTTTTTTATGTACCATTTGTGATTAATAATTCACCAGGGAGTAAAATATCGGGGAAAGTATCGAAAGGAATGAATGTGAGAAATGTGATTTATATATAGGGAACAATGCTACTGAGACAGGCGCCGCTATTCAACGCTGAATTATTTATTGTTGAGAATCTCATCTAGTTAGTTTGAGCAAGAAGAAATACGGAAGAAATAGAACGGACGAATAACCATTCCGCGTCACAATGGGCAGCCAATGACTGTATTCCTTCCGTTTATTATCCAGTCCAGGAAAAACTTTCTCCTTATCGAGAATCCCTTATCTGAGAGATTTCGCAAGTTGAAAAGAAAGACTTTAAAAAAAAGTAATACGCTCATTTGATACGATCTTAATGTTTTCCATCTTTCTTCGAGAGCCGGCTTTGATAATTCCGATAAATTGTGCCAAGGAGGATGTCGCCGGTGTGCGGTTCCAAAATGAAACGATACAAAAACAAGATTCTCCGCTGCGGCGAACACTCGATATTATTGTTCCCTCGGGAATAACTCGGACCAATTCTCTCCTCGTGTGCTCAGACGTCGCGATCCCGTGGGACAGCGTGACGAGAAAAAGACTCGTTAAGGATAAGTCTTTTGCGTTTCCTGCTGCGCGAGAGAGTTCGGAAAAGCAAGGTTTCTTGCGGCGAGACGACTTTTCAAATAATTCTTGAAGAAGTTTCCGTATTGCCTCGAAGATGCTCTAGCCGAGCAATCAAGAAAAGAAATCGACGTTACGTGTCGCTACACAACATTTTCAGAAGAACACTCGAAGAGAAGACGCTCGGCTGGATCGCTCTCGCGTAGTGCTTCCGCTGTCCGCGCAATCATTTTTTTCACTGTCATTCAAAAAACTAAGTAACAAATTACAAAAAAAAAAAATAAAGTAAGGAAGATTGCTTCTTGTTATAGTTATAAAAAGACATAAAAAAAAGTGTATCAAAAATACATTGTACAATAGAATCTCAAAAATCAAATCAGAACTCCGTTGCAAAAAAAATGATAACAATTCTACTCAAAACAAAAATTCCATTAGATATCCGTTGAACGTCAACAGCTCCATGCGATATCTAATAGATGTCTAATAGAGTTTTTGTTCTGTGTGAAATATTAGTTAACATAATAGAAGAAAATTAAAAAAAAATATATATATATACGTAGATCACAAAATCAATTTTACTGGGATAGTAAGTACGTTACAAACACGGGATGACGAAAGATAATCGCGAGACGCAAAAAAAGTGAAATTTAATCAAACTTAAATTGCGCAACAATGTTACGTTATATTTTCGCAAAAACGCAGAGTTTTAATTCAATAAAAGAGTCTTCTTACTTCTTTCTTCAATCGCACAAACTTGTGTCCGACTGTCAGTTCAGCTTCACTGAAACAAAGTTATACACAAAAAGATGAGTTAAGAAGTAATTCGCTAAGTTGGACTAGACGATTTCATGAACTTCTGGCATTTCTGTCGGTCACGTAGTCGAGAAGACAAATCGGATTTCGCCAAAGTCAAAAAAAAAAAAAGTACAGAAGTCAACAGACATTCCCCCGAGGGTATTTTTGCTCTCTTGAAGATCTTGTGTTCTGCGTATGCGCACACTTGCATTGTTGCTCCGCGAAAATTGTGTATTCAAGACATGATGTTTGTTTCCTAAGAGAGAGAGAGAGAGAGTTCCGGTTTCTGTAATCGTTAACGCGAGATTAAACAACAATCGGTTAAAACGATCCATCTTTTTCAACGGCGTGTTTCTCGAACAAACCGGAAAATTTGTGATGGCTATTTTATTAAACAATATACACAAATCAAACGAAAAAAAAAAACTGGAGTTTTTATATTTTTCTGAACTTCTTACTTTTTTATAAGTTTCTTTGTGCGAAGAGCGAAGGATCAACGAGTAATACAATTGTACATATTTTTATTCGAATCATAAAATCACGGAAAAAGATATATTATTAAGGCAACATTGAAAAAACCAAATATACTAAAAAAAAAACAAAAAAACAAAAAACAAAAAAAAAACGATGTAGACACTGTCGTCAGACATCACAGAATACGTAAGTGTTAATCTAAATTCCACTAATAAAACGTAATGTAATATCGAACTGCAAACATTACATTTATCACACGGGTAAGCAAATATACGATACGTATACATTATTTTAAGAAAATAAAAAGTCATTCAAAAATTTAGATTGTATTATATATAAGAACCGCGTATATAAACATATATATAGATTTACATTTACGAATTACACTGAATACGAATATGTGTTCGAATATATATTCGACCTCAAATACTTCTCTTCTGCTGTGAAAAATAATTTAAAATTATTTGAGCTCGTCTGATGCTCTTTATGCGATATGAAAATTATACCAATAATCGCAGACTGTCTAATTCAGCGTTTCTATATTGTAATTCTCCGTGATAGTTAATAATATAAAAATAAGACTTTGTCAACTGTCCGGCTTGTATGTGACGATGGCTTCTGTCATCACTGAAAAATACATAAAATACCTATAAAATTATCCTCTAGATAATGTTTGTAGCAAAACTCCGAAAAAAAAGACACATTCATTAGATGTTCATTATATACGTTCAAATAAAGTCACATGGATAATTAATGAACATGGACGTCTAATGAACAGTAATGTCCTGTGGATCCCGACGTTTGATAGTCAAGGGATATCAATTGTTTATCAGAAGAATAACACAATCATGTACGTGCGACTCTGTTATTTAGATTTATAGATATTTTACATTTCTCAGTGATGGAAGGCATTTTCACACAAGCTCGTGTATATACACAAAAGCTACAATTCGCCTCGCTATTGCGTGTGACCTTGTCATGAGACTCGCGTGATTTTTCCTGATATATCTTGAAAAAATTATTACATACTTATACATATATATTATAAATTATTACATACTTGTAGAGAAAAACTAGATAGATAAATAGATATATTCTTGCTGAAGAAAAAAAAAAAAGAAAAACATTAGATATAAGCACAGAGGGAAACAAAACGCTCTCGTAGGTAGGTAGGTATTGACAAAAGATGAGATTCATCATTCTAGTCATAAAATTTCTATCGAGCTCATTTACTATGTGTGTATTCGTATTATAAGTACTGACACATATGTATATATTATGTAAGTATTATATAAGAATCTACTATCTTGCAATTATTTATCATACTCTATTCGCTATTTCAATATATTTTTATGTACAACTTAGAGATATCTCATCGAGTATGATGATAGTCAATGGCTAAGAAAAAAGGCACTAATTCAAATAATATAAATGAAAAAACCATTAATCTGATTATTCTGGAACACGTTTATATATATTCTATCAAAAGATCATCGAAGAAAAGAAATTGATAAAAATGTGTTTTTGCCACATTTTCAATTTTGTTTGTAAAATATCAAAGTTGAAGTTATTGAAATTCATGTTCTTTTTCTCTTACACACATATTCATTAAATAAATAAATAAAGCAAAACTACTTTCTTTATAAAACTATAATTCTTGAAAACCTATAATCCGTGAAAAAAACACATTTACACAATTGTGAATTTTTTACAAAGAGTGCTATAACGGTTTTTTAATACAAAAAATATATATATACATAATTCTTGAATTAGGTCTTTATTCTGGCCAGTGTCTCTGTTTCATCGCTGCCAAAGCATATCGTACAAATCAATTCCATAAACTAGCTCTTTAATTTAACGCAGCTGAAATCATATATTGTCACCAATGTAAATGTACCTCCTCTCTACAGAACTTCAAATGTGCTTTGAATAAATTTTGTTTGTATATAAAATAAATTTAAACACAATCAACATACATTGATATAAATTATTCAACCTGGTTTTATTTACGTGACAGAGAAGTCATTCCTCGTGAAGAAAATGTTTTTACAAATCAGATATGTCCACTTAAAATATTATCAACTGGCACAAGTATACACATGCTATCCATATTTTCTTAAAAGAGACACAATGCATATTGAAATAAATAAATATATTTTTAAAAATGTAAATCAAACAATCAAAGAGAATGTAGACAAAATATATTGATAGAGAAATATATAATTTTAATACTTAAATTATTAGTATATTAGTAGTATAACTTGTGTATATACATTTATAGGTATAGAGATTGTTTTAAATAGTCTCTTTTTTTCTCACAACATTCTATATTTCAGCAGAAAATTAACAGATGTTAAACTGTTTTTTTTCCACCGATCGCACTTGTTCATAATGACACTATTTGATAGTTGTCTACGTTAACATGTGATATCAACATAAAGTAGACCAAGTACTAAGTAACGACCAAAATAAATTTATAAAAGAAACATTTAACTATTTATTTGAAGAAATTTGTAAAATATTATACGGCCAAACGTATTGGTTATTACATAACATGACTGCGATCTTAATTCAGGAACTACGTCTTCTTCTTCTTCCTCAATGCGAAGTACAGAGCGATTATTCCTAATCCGACATATGTGGCCTTCGTTACCTGGAAAATTAATGAAAAACTGAAGTCTATTCTTATAGATAGTGAGAGAATACGAACCTCGTTTTCGAACGTCAATTGAGCTTTAAGGTTAAATCACTTACATTTGCTCGGCCGTACATAGTTTGGCTATTAAAATGTTTTGCCAAACCCGTTAGCTCTTTTTCGCCTTCGGCCATTTTTTGGAGATGGAAAATTTAATCGGTTGGTTAAAGACCTGTACGAAAGATCAACAGAACGTCGTCAACTCGTAAACTCGCTGCTCTTCGGCTCCAATAGTCTGCTAGACGCCATGTTGAAAGTAATATACAATCGAAACAGGATAGCGAGATATCGCGAGATATTTCCTATTTTTTTTTGAAAAAAAACTTCTGTTGCAAAAAATCAATTTCTTCATAAAAACATTATTTTCAAAATCTTCAATGTCTCTTATCCCAATATTCTTATATTTATCAAAATGTACATATCAATCAAATGTACATATACAATCTACATATATGGTGGAATTTAATTAAATCTCAAAATACTTCGAAACCAAAATTTACATTTTTAATTACAATATGATGTAGTATATTTCTTTTAATAAGTGTCACACATATTTTCAAGTATCTTTTATAGCTATTCCAATATTCAGAATATTTCAAGTACTCACAATAAAAATCACACATTTGTATTTCATACAGTTTTATTTTCTCTTAATTCTTTTAATTCTGTCTGCTCTTGTTGATTTTGACTTAGAGATGGTTTTGTTTACAAAATTATTACAAAAATATATCTATATATAGATATGTATATATATTGTTTAGATACTTAAAGCGACGAAGAGGTAAGTGTTGAGGAGAACAAAAATATGATCAGTCAGTAAGAAATAACTTGAAACTAATAACAACTGAAAAGTCTATAACACATTAAATTGCATCGATTTCTTAAACGCTCACATAATGTTTCTATCATATTTATCATATTACTGGAAACAATGTGTACAACACAAAATAGCAAAAAAGTGATTGAATTTTAGGTGTTAGCTACGATGAAATTTTACGTATTAAAGCTATGTGTTATCTTATATGTTGTACAAACTATTGTACAACTTTGCAAAACTAATGTGAATTATAAATATTTTGCAAAATTCTCTCACGATTTAATTCTAAGCAATAATCACATCTTTTGCAGAAGATATTCTAAATAAAAGTGCTTCAACATGAGCCATACATTGTACTGTTATTTATCACTGTTAAAAAATAAAAAAGCACACATTTATTACGTTCAGAAACTCAACAGTTGCACAACGATTGAGAAATACTTTTGAAATCAAGGCAGGTTTTGAGGAATAGTCCTATTACAAGTGACGATCTCTCAACTGTTGTACAACTGTCGAATTTTCTGAACGTAATCATTCTTACAAAGTATCTTTTTTCATATATGGTATATATCAATATTTCTATCTTTGTTCAGTAATCACAGACTTATGTTATCGATGTAGGTCGAATAGAACGTAACTACTGTAAACATATTACAATTCTTATAGGTTTTAAATCTTGTCTTATAAGAATAGAATCTTGTTCTACGTTCTGTATATTGTTACATATTTTTCTATATTAGAGTGTTTGTTCTATCTCTTACTTGAAATTGTTCTATTTCTTGTTTGAAGTTCACGTAATCAATCATCAGTGTCTGCAATAATCAAAAAGCATTAATTAAATGTTCTACACTAGTATACAAAGCAATAAACATTTTATATATTTAAAAAAAAAAAAAAGTTATAGCGTCTCAAAAAAGATGTATGAAATGTATGTTATTTATTCACAATTAAAACTCTAGCGTAAGCTTTAGAATGATGTTAAATACTTACAAATATCTTGTTGAGAATGGAATCGTTTTTGGGATATATCGATCTCTTGTAAATGTTTTCTATCTCCTCCGGTAAAATTTTTTTTAGTTTATATAGCAATAACAATGCGGTGTGAAAAGAGATTAAAAGAACAGAAGTAATATGGTGCTCTGAATCCCGTGGAAGATTTAAAGAGTGTCTATAATTTTTAAAAATACAATATATTTACATTAGATAGAATGTAATTTTAAAATGAAAAATTGTAAAGTATATGGTATAATTAAATGTATTATCGCGTAATTGCTGATTTCTACAATAAATAATAACTTAATTAATATCTGTGTATATTTCAAGTATTTTTAACGTACCTATCCAGATCTAAAAATGCTCTTGGATATTCGTATCTCTGGACATTTTTGAATTGACACGCTTCTTTTAAATCCATCGCTTCTATTATAGTTACCAGAGAAGAATATGTCAAGTCTGTGAAAGATTCTATAAATTCGTATACTAATATCCAGCCATTTCCGTCAACGTGAAAAATTAATGACGCACCTTTCATTGGATCTATATTAAAAATAAAGAAAATATTATTTTTCAAATTATTATTTATTAATGTATATATATATGTTTATGTATGTATATAAATAAATTTATCAACTATATAAAAATATCTATTATATAGTATAATTATTTATTATTTTCAATTTTTATATATTCTTTGTCGCTATATTCTACATACATCTATCGGACATCTTACCGGAGAAGATAAAAAATCTATATTATACATGTATTAAGTATATTAAAGTAAAAACTTTTAAATCAAATAAATATTTAGTACAAAATTATACGTACCAATTGGTTTGAAGAAGAAAGAGTGACTAGCCAGAGTATTACAACTATTCTGTTTTTCTTCAAGGTTTTGCGTCTCCTTATACGGCAACTTGTGAAGATTCAAGCATATGTCACTCAAATTTTTTCTTAAATAATTAATTTGATTAACATAATTCAGATCAGGCGTTTGATATACATTCCGAGATACAAAGTCTTTGATGTTACAAATCGATTCCCTCTGAGGCATATTGGTTGTTTGTCTCTCTTGAGGCGTGGTGAGTGTAAAATTTTCATTGTGATGTTTTGGGGAAAAACCATTCCAGTTAATCAACTGTTCCGGATTTTCCATGTACGTTCTAATTTGCGCAGGTTGCTCGTTTATGTTACTGTTATGCAGTTGATGCTTCGGTTCATTGTTTGTTACTGACGATGTTTGTAAGTTCTTCATCGATGGTTGAGTTATATAACACTGATTCGAGGTTGAAGTAGCGACATTGTAACTAAGCGGGAAGTTCTTGTCGCATTGGTTTAAGTTAAATGTGTTTTGAGCGTTGTCAAAATTATTGTTATTTTGACCGATACTTTTATCTTGTTTCGTCTGAGTATTGTACATAACCGGACCAGATTCATAGACTATTTTTGGTGAATACTTTTCATGATTATTGATGTAAAAATGTTCTATAGGAGTGCAATTGCTATTCGTCGTTTGAATATTCATATCTTTTATTATCGAGAAATGATTCTGTGAATTTTCACTGGTACAATATGACGAGTTTGAATTTAATTCGGAGTTCGTCACTTGATTCTGCGTCTCTTGGCTCTGAAATTCACCAGTCATAAACATCCTAAAGGGGTTTGTTTCCTTAGGTACAGACTTGGTCACGTTGCAAGAAGGTGATGACGTGATATTGTTGGAAGTGCTAGACATCGTCAGAAGAACATTTTCGGTTTTCTGATTATCATTTGAGAAGCAAGAATTGTTTGGTATATAATTCTTAAACATTGAAGAAAAAGGTGAATGAGAACTTATAGATGGACTGAGCTCACCGGTCTTAAATAAATTTGAGGAACTATATTCGTCACTATTGCTCGAATTAAACGGATTTGGTGAAACATTAGTAGTAGTAGTTTCAAACACCTGATTCAAAACCTCATTATTCGAGCTGAGCGTGTTCTTGAATGCCGAATCGATCCAATCATTGTTTGACATTGCTCCGTTTAAAGTATTAGACGTATTGACGTTGGGTTTATCATCGTCTAATTTTAATGCTTTCACAAAGCTGTGTAGGATCGTGTTTAACTTTTTCTGAATTGTTATATGATTTTCTAACATAGCCTCATTATCCACCGTTTCTTTTAATATTATATTGGGCAAGGCATCGAATATTCTATTATATAACGTAATATTTTCGTTCCAGAGCCCCAAAATGATATCGATAGAACTGGTTTCGCTCTTCGAATCGGTCAAAATACTAACTGGTGATGTTTTCGCGGGTGAATTTACTGGATTTGATACATTTCCAAGAGCATAATTAGAAGAACTTTCTGTTGTCGATAAACGGAGCTTGGTCTCCTTGATAGGCTTAAAACCTGGAGGCGGTTTTATTTTCTGCTTTTTCAGACTATCGCGAGGAACCTGTTCAGAAGAAATTGAGCGTGTTTCTTGTATATCTTCTGTAGATGTTCCTTGGTTGCGTCTTTCAGGTATTAAATTGTCCTCCGCAAAACAATATATAGGTAGTCGATTGTAAATGTTTAGAGCATACTTTACTAAATTTGCCATGTCAACAGTATCCTGAGTAACAAAAACAAAGAATACAAATCAGATCAAATATTTTGTCTCTCAATATCGTTATGATACAATTATAAGAGATTAAATGTTTGAGAAAATTTTTAATTAATATTTAAGTTAATTAAAAAAAAAAAAAAAAAAAAAAAAACAAATGTATAATGTAGAGCATCAAAAATTCTGTTAATAGTTAAATGTTTTATCATATTAATATTTAAATATAATAAGCACAAATGCGGAAATCATGGTGCTTTTGTATGTGTCTACATGTGTTGAGTAATAATTTTACACAGTTTTTGTACTCTGTTGTATCTCTCTTTATTGTACATTACTTGTCTTATTACAGAATGTACATATAATAATATACATGACATTATAAGATTTAAATTTTTCTCAAAATAAGACCAAGATTTAAAGAGTTAATTCACATAGGTAAAGAAATAAAAATGTATATGATAATGTATACTATATATATATATGTATATATATATATATATATATGTATATCTATACATATATATATATATGTAGTGTGTTCACAATCAAGTATATACAACACACAATCACTTAAAAGAATAATTATTATCATCACCGATATTAATATTAATGCAGAAATGGTAGATCCTCTAACACCTAATCTTCAACAAAATGATTAGTATACAATACAATCCCAACGCTATGTAGATACATATGTGTGCGTGTACGTGCGTGCGTGTGTATATGATTGAGATAAACGTCGTTCTTTTTTTTAACAAACTTGCAATGTAACACACGCATTATATATCATTTTTGGTGATTTTGAATTTTGCAGTAATTATTCAAATTATTCAAAAAAAAAGAAAAATATTCTTCGTCTAAATTAGCGTCCCATTTACTGTTATCAGGCTGTATATCGCAATCATTGAAAGATAATACCTCATCGGATGTTTGATTATTTGATGGCTGTGTGTACGCAACGAGTGAACATTTTGACTCATTCATTGATTCGTTCTTATTATTGTGTGTCTCGTCATTTCTGATATTTTGGATACTTTTGTCGTTTTGAATATAATGAACTTCTTCGTTGCAGTTTTTGTCATCTTTGACACTTGTCTCATCACTCATACTATGAATCATGTCGCAGCTTTTGTCGCTTTTGACATTTTTCTCATTCACCTTGTTACTGTTGTTAGTGTTATCATCCGAGTCACTCAAATCGTCAGAATCTAAATCAGAATAGTCTTTCTTCATGGTTAAACTTTGCGTAATTTTTAACATTTGTTGAAACTTCGAGAAAATTGAGGTTACTACTGCCACGTTTGGTTGAGGTTTTAAATCGCAAATAGTAGAAGAAACAATAGAATCGTTTTGTAAGATGTCATTTGTTCGACATAATTTCGAATCAATATTTTGAACAATATTGGAATTAATAGAATCATTTTTCAAGGAATGATTTGATTGTTCCGAATCAGAAAAAGAAACAGTAGTATTGTCTTCCAAACTCTTGTCATAATTCGTCAGATGCTGTTTTATATCATTATTAGAAAAAGTGGTGGATACTTCACAGGACTGATTTGACTGATCGTGATTCGAATTATCAATAGAAGTGAAAGAATCGGAAGACAAAAGCTTAGTCATCTCAGATTCGTTGTCTAAATTGAAGTTACTCGATGACGACGTGTTTAGTTTATTAGATATTTCCTTTTGATAGAGCATCTCGTAATTTTCATTGTGTATTGAGGTTATTGCGTAGTGATCACTGTTACTGCTGTTAATGCTGCTATTGCTACTACAATTGCGTGAAGACGTCTGATTCTGTCTGCTACTGGAAGATTTTGTCATCAAGTTCGAGTCCGTCGAATTTTTCCGCATATTCTCTATCAAATAATTCAGAAGCCCTTGGTATTTTATATTGACCGGTTTATTGGTTGTATCAGATTCAGAGCAACTGTCTGTATCGCATTTAGATGAATCTAATGTTACATCTGCGTTAGAATTTCCATCTTCCTCCATTTTCTGACTCGATGTTTTTTCGCATATTTCACCATTTTTATTTACGGGACATTTTTCTGTCAATTTCTCACAAGAGGATACGTCACTGATCCCAAAAGATTTCGCAGTGGAATTTGAAATATCACAAGATGCGCTATTGATCTCAACAGAAGTACTACTCGTAGTAGAATTTAATGTATCTTGAGATTGATCGCTATCACGCACAAGTTTCATTACATTGACGGGTACGGTCACAGCTATGTACTCGTCAGTAGGTATTTCCACTCTTTGTTTCAGACTTGCTATAGTCTGAGACATGTTGTTAACGGTACGCTTGACATTCATATCGGGTGTCCAAATATACTTCCTTTCGGCTTCTCTTTCAGCTAACTGCTGAAAATATGGACATGGTCTAATAGGTTTTTCTAATAAGTTGACATTTCTCTGTGATTTATTCTCTTCCGTGTTTGTAAGCTTAAGTTTTGTTGCAAGACTGTTTGAGTTGTAACATGCTGTAACAGTCCTTTGAGGAGAATCGTCCTTGAAGTTTGCAGACCAATCACAAGGCACTTTATGACCCTGCCCACCATATATACTGGAGAATTCTCCAAACAACCTTCTCTCATCGAGTATCTCATCGTCGAAATCTTTCATCTCATATCTCGAAATCAAATTTGAATTTATTTCCGTTCCTACATTGCTCTCTTGCGTATCACGTTCAAAACTCTCATTTGTTTTTGATGTGCCAACGCTCGAATTAGAGGAAAATGTGGCATTCATCGTTTTTTGCTTTTCTGAAAATGCAGCTAGTTTCTCAAGTAATTTCGATGATTTAATTTGCGAATGAGTTTTCGATTGCGATTTAGAATTTTGCGAGTTAATATTCTTTAATTTAAGCAATAACTTTTCTCCGCTGAACGGGACGTTACACGAAGCCTTGACATTCTCTTTTTCTCTATTTTTGCTCTCTTCAACGGATAATCTCTCGGATGTTTGTGCTCTCTTTTTTCTATTTTGTGTTTTATCTATATTAATTGTGTTTTCCGCATCTGACCTTTTGACAACCTTATGTCCACCACTTCTATTGCATACATTACAATCTTTATAAAAAAATAAAAAATAACACATACGCACCGTTTCAGCGCATTGCGCTAGATTTCGGTTTACTAGCCAATCATTAATATGAACTTCCTCTTCCTCTTCACTGGTGTCAGTGAGAATAACCATCAAGGAATTGTGCTGTAAAAATACAAATTAGATAAATAATATATGCATATATAGTTTTTTATTGCGCGCGCATATATGTACAAATTCTACAGTGTTATTAATAAATTGAATAATTTATTAATATAAAGATGTAAAACACATGATTAAATTTTGCACAACACACACGATTATTCTTCAATACTAAATACTTAAAACATAATTATATAAAATTAAAAAATTAAAAACTCTAAACTATCTTTTGTATAAGATATATTATAAACTATATTAGAAATAAAAATTATTACCGTAGTGTCAACAGAATGAACGGTTGCGGCTAAGAGATGTCCCGAGATTCTGTCGCAGAAGTTTTTATTCGCAGTACTACTCCAGCGATCACCGACATGTGGCCTAACATTAAATAAGCCGCAAGGTATCGCTTGTACAGGCAAACGAGCGAATCGTTTATGCAAATAGCATATGTCATCAGGCAAATATGTTTTTACTGTACCGTAATCAATAAACAATATCTGTTGGAAATATATAAATATCACAATTAATAAAAATAAACTTTTTTTTTTAAATTCTTTTTTTATTCGTTATTTTGTTAGATGTTTTTTACTCACTGTTACTTGAAAATCTGGCTTCACGCTCTTAATAACACCTCTGTGCCATCTCTCATCATAAACACACGCGCAATGTAGACCTTTTATCAATCCAACCTTTGGAACAATGTACTTCGAAAAATTGCAAGTATAGAACTCACTGGAAATAAAAAAAAATTTGTAAGTTTCAAAACTCGAATATTGCGAGCAATAGATAAATATTCTTTGTGTGTACTTACTTTATATCTTCCATCAATTGTATAAGTTGATCTCTATATTGTCTAAGATGAATCCAAAAAAAGCTTGGATTGAATACTTCTGAAACGTATACTTCAAGAAATTTCTTTTCCTTTAACTCGGTCACTGGTATTAGCTTTATACTTTCATGGTACTTCATTGCATCATCGGGAACAAATGCTCGATTGGCTATGTTGGCAGGCTATAAAATTATAAATTATATTAATTGTTTGAAAGTATTGTATTGTATACTTTCAGAATTTTTTTTTTTTTTCTATAATATCGATTTTACCACACAGCCGTACAATAAGATTCTTTTACATTAGTATAAAGATCACAAAGCTTATATTGTTTTTAAACAAAAATGTTGCATATCAATAAAATTATTATAATACTTATATAATAAACATCATGTTACTTACTATGTCAGTCGGAATTGGAGGACTCTTAGCTCGATCAAATTCTTCTTCATTGTTATACAACTGTCGCTCCTCTTCAATATTTTCGTTTCTACTCGATTGCAATTCAGGAACCGTCGGTCTTTTATCCGCGCTTAATAACAAAAAGTCACCGTCTACGTCCAGCCTCTTCATGTAAAAGATATTTGGCAAGTAAAATATAAACTCACGCACACTAGTAAATCCAAGTTCGGTATAATTCAGATGTACGTTAAATTCCTTCAAATATTTATCAGGCAATTCGGCGCATTTAATGCCATCTGGATATTTTTGTATCAATTTGCTCAATCGTAATTTTATCTTATCATTGATCAATTCTTTCACCCTTTCAGAATATGGTAGGTTTGTTTTTGCGTTCTGCACTACAGTAATGTCATTCATACCAACGTCATCATGATCGTTTATTATCCCGTTTAGCATTTGATTACTATTTCGAAAATCTCTCTCAAACTCTTCACTCGATCTCCTTGACTGATTGTTTTCATAGTCATCTGCCACAACACCAGTATTATCGACATCTTCCTCATCAGATAAACCCGCAGCGACGAATACAGGTCCCATACTTGAAACTGTGTGTGAATTAGCTTGTAAATTTGGCTTTGATCTCAATTGCTGGGGATCATACCTCTGAGAGTTATCTATACTATGTCGCGAATAAATCATATTGTTATCTAGATACACTTGGTGCGATACCTCGCGCAGTTGCGTCTTCAAATCATTCACACACAATCTTATATTAGGATATTGTGTTCGCATAAACCTTATAGCATCCTGTACGCTAATACCATTTGAAAATGTATTGATATATTGTACAAGAGTGGTTAGCATGGAAATATGAATTGTAGTACGCGGGTACGACGATGACGTGTACGATAACGAGGCATGGGATGAAAAACATCTCGGTTTTGAATTGCTCTTTTGTCGGCTCACAAGTGATTTTACATGCGAACTCTTTTCTGATTCAAGACCTCTAACATAATTAGTACCATTCATCGAGTAGACTTCAAAGTCCTCTGGCATACTTCTGAGAAACGCACACAAGCTCTCATAGCCCAACTTGCGCCAAGGTACACGTTCATTTTCCACTCTAAAATACGCATTGTCAAGAGCAGCAAGCGACAAGTTATGTTGATAAGAGGCCAACAATGATACAATAATTGTGCGAACTTCGTTAATTTGTTCTTGTCTTTTCATTATTATAGATAATGTATGTATACTTCATAGAAAGAGAGATTTCAATATACAAACAGTTCTTAATGAGACAGTAAAGTTATCACAAAAGTGTCAACATCTGCAACAAGAAAAATTATAATTTAATTAAAAGACAGATTAAGAAAAGTTTGTTAAGTTAGGTTAGGTTAGGTCAGATTAGGGTTAGGGTTAGGTTATTTCAGTTAGCATAATTTATTTAATTTGCACAACTATATACTCGTGAGAAATAATTTTACAAACATGCAGTATATTTATTTATTAGTCAAAAACTGTTTTTTATTTAAAGAAAAAATAATGTTTTTGTTCAAAAATATATGTGTAAACGAAGACAAAAGCAAGGTGTTTGAAAATGAATATTCAACTACAAGAAACAAATGCAGGATTAATCAATTGCTTTGGTCAATTGGTAATACAATACGATTGTGCGAGCAGCAATTGGTCAATTTCATATGCGTTCGTAATTATGGTTCTCTCACATTCTTTAAACACATGTATAAAAATTTTACATCAAACTCTGATCAAATATCAGAAGTACCGTTACATTATGTAGAGAGCTGAGTTTGTCGCTTAAAAAAAAAGAAAAAAACTGCATGCATAAGATTATTATCATGCTTGTAATAAATTCTAACGCAATTAATTATCCAGCAAACTCAACAGGTGTTGAGAACGCTCTGTGCTATTATCTTAAAGATATATGAAATTTTCTTTCAACAGGAAAGACAATACACAACTCCACATGCAAATAGTAAAAAATATTCAACAAATATGATAATTGTTACTAGCGATAGACAATATTACAACGTATATAAAAGAAAGACTTGAAAAGTTCTTCTATAAATCGCGAGAAAATAAGGTTAGATCACATTTTAAACTTGAGGATCATGCTCTGGAAACGTAATAGATGTATATTCAAACTTGAATAAAAGCAGAATACTTTGTGCGTAGTCCTTTCTTCTTTAAGATCTTGTCCGAATTGTTATATCATCTCAATCCTTTGCAAAAATGAGCAAGCACTCAAGGAAGCGCAAGAAGAAATCGCTTAGATCTTTGTGAAACTTCGCTGAAACGATTCGCGCCAAATCTGTACCAATCCGCGCAGGTTATTATTCGAACAACACTTTTGCTCTTCCTTTTTGTTCTTTTTCTGTCCTTAATCTTTGCTTGTAGTTAGCTACTTATGGCGTCAAACTAAGAACAAAGAAACAAGAAGTTCTGAGAATAAACAAAGTAAAATCAATTGTAAAATCAATTTTTACACAACATATAAATATTAAAATTTTTTAAACATTTTACATATAATATGTACATAATGATCTTACTTTTTCACGTGGAAGAATCGCTCTCACGTGCACGTGTGCATCAATCTTATGCAGATAGGTTTGGTTTGGTGCATATATGGCTCAAAGGACCGTTTCAAGCTAGTCCATACGCCATTCTAAGTCTTTAGGAATCGTGACACAGGTTCTAAACCGTGGTTTGGGTACAAGCCACGGAGTTGTACGTTCGTTAAAAATACTGATAAACTGAAGAAATCGGTGTAAAAACACCGAAGATTGTCCAAAAATATCTAAGCGTAACTACGCACATCTAACCGGTACGGCTAAACACGCGCTCTTGGGTTAACACGCACGTGAACTAATCTTATGCAGATAGTTTTGTGTGTTCCAGACTATACCGGATATGTAGGTAGATATCGACATCTCAAGCGCATCGGTACGTTAAGCCTGTTCTATACTAACAATAATCATGTTCAGCAGACCGAGCAGATCAGTGAGCGCTTAATGATTCTTCAATATATGATTGGTTTCTACATTTAAATCCAAATAAGATCTAAAGGCAAGATTCAATCATATTAAAGAATCACTTAAGCGTTCACTGATCTGCTCTCGGTCTGCTGAACGTGGCCAATAAGCGCAAGGCGCAAATGCAAGCTGCATGTTTCCTGGAATTTAACCAATCACGTTGGTCGATCGATTGATTTGACTATGCAATTGATCAATTTCACGACACTTGTTTGCGGCTTGCGCTTAATGTAGAACGGGTTTTAAGAGGTACGTTCCATCTGTTTGCAATGTTATTGACGCCCATAGCGTTCACTGGGTGTTGTAGATTGTTGTTATCCAGCAAAAAGGCACCGTCCTGAGTTTCACGTAACAGCGGATTTGCGTATGTTAAGCTTAGACGATTTGATTGGTTAGCGCAAGTTACATGTAAAAACGGCCTAAAGGTCTTTAGCAATGTTTACATCGCATTATAGGGACATACACGCGTCTAGAAAGAAACTAAAAATCAATATGACATCTACGATCGCTCCGTTTAAAACATATTCGCAAATATAGTGACAATTTACTTTTATAAATTTCTTATCTCATAAGTGTACTGCTAAGATATATTGTTGACTGTCAAGTTGTTGTGGATATTAATGAATTGTATGTAAGCTAATTTTATGCAATAAATAACACGTGCAAATAAAATAAATAGGAATTTATCCACTGAGAAATAATAAAACAATAACATGTGTGTGTGTATAACCTTAATTAATGTAAATTTTTTAACTTACAACCAACAAAAGAGTTTTTGTATCTTGAACCAATCAATGAGATGTTACATTTCAGATCTAATTTTTATTCTCGATTTGTGTTGTTTCATATGTATATAAGATTTTTCTTTTCTAAAAAACTTAAACAAATGTTACATAAAAAAGGTAAAAAGGAAGGAAGTATATGTTTAACACTTTTAAAATTTAAAAAATATATTTAGTATAGCAACATTATTATTACTTTAAACTGTACAATACATATATATATATATGACGTACACAGTACATTTTATTTGCAATATTATAGATACGTATCAAATATATAGTGTTGTTCATTGTTTTTGCATTATACCACTTTTACTAAATTTCAGCTTTACTTTCTCAGTATTCATACGTTATTCATTCCCATGTGAAAAAAAATCAAAATTCATCAAATATTATTAGATGTTTACGTGCTATATCTAATAAACGTCTAATAGATTTATCAGCTTTCAACTTTGTTTGTTTTGTGAGTTATCATCTTAAATATTTGTACAAGTCTTTCTGATAAGTGATGCACGTGCATCAGAAAACGATGTCAAATGTAATGTAATCACCATTTAAAAGAAAAAAATCATTCTTTTCAAGATTAGATACACAAAATATATATATATACATAGTTTAAAACTCCACAGATGACAATATATATACATATATAACAAAACAAAAACAATCACGTTATAAAGCTATGCGATTTGGCGAATATCACAAGAAATATCAAAAGAAATGTTCACACACAAAAGTAAATATAAAATTAAATTTATTTCAAGCGTTTGTTTTATAAGTACAATCATTCCCATATTCTGTTCAAATTATAACGATGAAAATCGTCAAATTACAACGATGAAAAGTTGTAACTTATCTAATTGATATAATCTCCACAACAAGAAAATACATCACATACAGTTTATATCATACATAAAAAACCTTTTTTTTTTTTTTGACATATCTACTTATTGATCAATAAACGAAACATGATACTGCCAGATAAGGTCACGTAGAAAATAATTTGTAGATACACGTGTATTTCCATATTATATTTATATCAGTATAGTGTGCAATTATTTTCCTGTCAAAAATGAAAAGCAAAATTTTATTTTTAACATTAATGACTTAAATATGTAAAATAAGGAGATGCACGCGCGCATATCGATATCATTATCACAGCCGCATAATGTAACATACACGCCGAATTTGTTAGATTTTTTGTGAAAGAACGCGTTTAAAGATCGATAAATCCGATAGGTTGAAAAACAAAAGATTGACATATTACACTTATTAGATTAAAATTAATAGACCCTCAGGGTCGCGCGCGCGCCTGTGGATGCATTGGCCGACCAGCTAGCAAGGGTGAATCATTCTCTTTCTCGCTTTCTTTCTCTCTGTCTCTTTTTCTCCTTCTCTAAGCTACGGCAGGCAGCAGCAACCCATAGCCATCCACAGCAGACGGTAGACGGTATTAAATCGCTCTGCTGCTGATCGCAGACAGCAGTGTTCGCCTGCGCAGCAGCGCGTTTTGTTATATAGAATCTACGTGTGTGGGTGTATATGTGGAGCGCGAGGAACCGCCGGTGGCATCGCACCAGCCGAAGCCTCACCAAGTCGGGCGAGGGAGCGCCGAGCAAAATCATCCGCACAGCGTCCGTTCTCTCCGTCGAAAAGGGAGGGAAAGTGCGCGGAACGTAAAATTTTTGTTTAAAAAGTGGTGACACGCGATCAGTCTTCTTCTTCGTTCGTCAAAAGAAAAAAATGGGTCCAGCGTGCTTCGAGCTGATCCTCGTTGGCTTCATCCTAGTGTTGCCGTTCCTCTATGAAACAAGCCGCACCTTCCGCTATTATTTTAAGTTCCTCGTTTACTACGGCATTGTGATGGTGAACGCGGCTCTGCTTCTGCCCGCGTTCTCGCTGCGGCCCGGCAACGTCAAGAATTTTCTGTTAGTATAACGATCGCACAAGCGATCGATATTGTTTGTTACGTGTATTATCCATTTCGCATGTGTGTGCCCTCTCTCCCTACGTCTACGTAGAGATTCTTCCTCGTGTAAGTTTTCTTATGTCACCCTGGAAAGACGTCTCGGATAATCGCGAGAGAACGCCGGTACAAATTTATTGACCAGCGCTCTCTCGCTGCTCAATTCACTGGGTGGCGGATTGATGGTGGTGTAACGATGGTGTTCGATAGTGATGGTTGTTACCCGCAAGTCTCTCCTCGTGACGATGTTCGTACTAATAATGAGTGATATGCGGAGGCGGAAAGGATGATTTAAATTGCAATATCGCACGAGAAAAGCTGGATAATATGAGTCGTTTTCTGTATTAAAATATGATCATAAAATTAAATATGTAAAAAGATAAAAAAAAAAAAAATAAATAAATGTAAGAACAAATTTCGCGCGCGTGCTTTAGTATTTGCAACATTATACATCGCATAAATACACGTACACTGCGCGGAAAGTCTCACAGATGCATGGGAGTAATTAAATAAGAATCTTTCGACCGGCGTGATTTAAACGAAGAAATAATTAAGACCCTTGAAATTCTAAACTAATATTGAAATTGGTCATTAAGAGCCAAAATTTTAGCCAATTTTAATACTAGTTTAAATAAGAATCGATAATGAAGATATTTTCTACATAATTCAGACGCGACATCTTTGTATTTATATGTTTACCAGTTAAAAGTAAATTTTAAAATTCAATACTTGACATTATCCACATTAACATCAACTTTAACTAATTAAGAAACTAGTTTGAGTTTTTTTTTTTTTTACACTCTTGTTTTACACAAGTACGATTTGAACTTTGTTCTAAACCTTCATATTGATGATCGATGATTAGAATAATAAGTTTAAAAAAATCTTGTTTACTTGAAGAGATCTTATTTAAAATTTAGATAACTCTAAAGAGATTATAGTACGAAGTTTTTACGGCATTTTAATGCTTTAACTGTTCTTGGAATAAAAGCTGAGACAATAAATTTAATTATTTACTGATGTTAAAAATCTTAATTTATTCTTATCTAAATATTGAAATGAGACGTAAAAAACGAGAAATCGTGAATTTTTGTGTATTGCAATTTACATTAAAATAAACTAGATGTTTTTTACATGTTACCCCACACCGGTATATTCAAAGCCCATAATTTGGTAAAATCCGCGCTTTTGAAACTTCTTTCGTATGTCGCATATATGTAATTGCGTATAATTTAATTTACGTCCAACAATATATATTTTCTACGTACGCATAGACTCAAGATAAAAGAACGTATGTGTAAGAAAACAATGCGCATGAACAAACAACATAATTGCTACTATTTTTTTGGTTTTTGTTAAGAAAGACGTGATAAGATAAAACGTGATAAGACAGAACACATAAATATAATTTATTAGACAATCATCATTTGCTTTTACGTTGTATATTTCTTTTGAATCACTGGATATATCATGACAAAGCTATATAATAATAAAAGCTATATAATAATCTTTTGTCATATTACAAGTAAAATAAATTAATTTAAATATATATGCGCACATGTGTGTGTAATATTTATATGAGAGAATAATATGGAAAGCTTACACCTTTTTTTTTTTACCTCAAACACAGAAAATTTTTTCGAACCTATATGTTCTTTCATGCACGTAAAAAAAATTATACAGATATTATTTATCTGATTATTGTGTTATTCGATTCGTAGTTGTGCTATGTGAAAAGGTATATATTGCAGACTGGCATCGTCGTTATGTCATCATGTCAGTACTCTGCTGGGATTGCGTTGGGAGCTGAGAGGAAGGGAACACTTGGAGAAAGACAGAGCTTGTATAATTGTGGCGAATCATCAGAGCTCGCTGGACATATTGGGTATGTTCGATTTGTGGCCGGTGATGGATAAGTGTACCGTCGTGGCCAAAAAAGAGATCTTCTATGCGTGGCCAATGGGCCTTGCCGCGTGGCTTTGCGGCCTAATCTACATCGACAGGATGAACTCCGAGAAAGCGCGAGCCGTGCTGAACACCGCCATGGAGAAACTCAAAGACAACAAGGTAAAAATTCAAAAACAGTTGATCGATCTCTCTCGAGCTAGATCTCTGATGTTGATCATTTGTGTATACTAACTTTCACTTTATTAATTCCGATCGCCTGATGCAGATCAAGTTGTGGATATTCCCCGAGGGTACCAGACACAATACCGGCGAGATACATCCATTTAAAAAAGGTGCTTTCCACGTAGCAATCAGATCGCAGTTACCTATACTGCCAGTTGTATATTCGTCTTACTATTTCTTGTCCGCGGAAGAGAAGAGGTTTGATGCCGGTAAGCATTCGATTCTGTGTTCTATTGCGGAACGCGTTGAAAAGAAGAGAGATCTTAATTGAGAATTTCATTGCACACAGGTCGCATCCTTGTGACTACATTGCCACCTATTTCCACTGAGGGACTCAGTACGGATGACGTGGAGGAGCTAATGGAAAAGACGCGAAGCGCCATGAGCGAGGTGTTTCACGCGGCAAACCGTGAGATTCAGCTGTCTCTTGCCGCCGGTGAGATATTAAAAAGCGTTCTATAAGAATGATGACAAACGAATAAGATGTGCTAATGCTTTTCTACAAAGATATTAGCGAGTAAATTTTTGCGCAGGAACCAAAGACTAAAGCAACCGTTTCACCAATGTCCTCTATTATATGTATATTACGCTATTGTATTATTATATTTTAAACGTCTCTCCAAAGCTCCATGAGAATGGACAAAGATATCGTTCGATTCGATTTTTACGATATCCAAATCACGATATCTGTACAACAATACATTTGTACGCTCCTTTACTTATTAATCTATTTATTTTAGCTGCGCAGATCACGCGAGAATCTAAGTATCTTTTGTCGCGTAGTTCTTTCGTTTACGCGTCTGTATTCTCTTGCGTCGAATTTAATCTTAACGATATATAAGATATAAATATTATTGTGTGTTCCCGTGTGTCAGTGAGATTACAATGGACTTCCGTTTCCGTATATAGAAGTTTTTGCCCTTTACTTAAAGTAAGTTATTACGAACTATATACAAAACACAACAATACATTGTTGACTTACTTACAAATCTGCTTTGATTGCAAACGGAAATAGAAGTCCTAGCGAATAAATCTTTTATCGTCAATGTAAAAACGTTAGTCGTGACGTACGAAGCTGTTTACGAGAGTGATTGCTTTATATATCTATAAAACAAGCAAGGAGACAAACAAAATTGCATGTGAGTAAAAAAATATAAGATCGAACGGAATAATTCATATGCGATTGCTGAATAAGTATAGAGAAACATTCCTTTTGGATTAAATATAAATTTTAAACGTACTGTACAATATACAGCACTTTTATGAGTAGATATGAATAGAATGAGAGAAAAAGATATGTATATACATATATCATGATTTCGTAAAGTTACAACTTGTACATATAATTCGTTAGAACGTGTTTTATAAATTGTGGGAACATGTTGTTAGTGTTTATATACTTAAACGGATTGTACTAAATTTATATTATTAGACATATTTTGCTATATAAGATAACGCGCTTGTACATTCCTGTTTGTCTGTTTTTTATGCTTCCACTTATTTTATTTGATACAACTGTATATCTAGAAAATGAATTAAGAAATACGTATAATATATTAAAAATTTACACACTTAAGTGATTTACAGTGAAGTGCACCTTAATTTTAAATATCTTAGAAAGAGAGAAGTTGGACTTTCACACAAAACAGTCTTTTTTAACCAAAACAAAAGATGATGCAATATTTATCGAGAGTACTCTTTGAAAAATTTCTAAAAACTCGCGAATTTTTCGATCACACGAGATGCAATTGTATAACCATGTGGAAATATCGTTAAATAATAAACTTGTCACGTTAGTAGTATTATCTTCCTGAATAAATAAATAAAAAAACAAAAACGCACAATTTTCTCAATTGATCGTATTTAATAAAAGTTAAACGCTGCGTTTAATGTACGATTTCTAGTGTATTTAATCGAAGTATCTAATGCATGAATATAGAAATTTGGAGAAAACTTTTTGTAATTTTTTATAAATCTAAAAAAATTTTTTTTGAACTTACAAATATTATAAACATCTGTGTTCTTTCCTCAAAAAATTATCATCTGAGAGGCGGCACTTTACGTTTACTTACGTATATGATTAATTGTAAATCACATGATACCTTTGAATAAATCTTTTACTTAACGAGATTACACATACACGGTCCTCTAATAGAGATTTATTTCAGTGCCAATTTATACGAGAAGAGCAGCTATTGTATGATAATTACACTTATTGTATAAATAATTTTTTTACGTAAAAATAACTAACGCATTCTATCACTTCAATACAGAATTATAAATTGTTGCATTTTTTCGAATGTGAGAATGTCGATGGCATCGATTTTATAAGACAACGTTACAACATATGTAAAAGTAGTATAGCTTATTATTCCAAAGAATATACATATATTATTATATTTTTAACTCAGGCAATGTATTATACATTATGATGTTACCTGTGATCCGTCAAACACTTAGCAAACATTAATCACGTCATAAAAGATATTCAACGAATTGTTATATGTACATTATGTAAACTTTTTATCTGTGAACCGATTCACAATTGATTAAGTTTATCGAAAATGGTTTTGTATATGATATGTATAATTGCATTGTAAATTAAAACATAGTTCGCAAAGTGTAAGAGCAAGTAATAAAATATATCTGATTTTAATGTTGTTTACTGATTTTTTCATTTATTAATACACATCTATTAAAGAGTATATACAACAAATGAATGTCAGTTTTTTATTTATTAGTGACGTAATTTATTTAGTTTTTTATTTATTACAAACTTAACGTACTAAATACAAAAACAAAATACATATAGGTAGTAGAGGGGTATACATTTACTTAATTAAATTTAAATTAATACCGGAATTAGAAATCCATTACGCCGCTCCTTTGTTTCTCTTGACTCTCAGTCCATGCCTTGGCTATTGTCTTCTTCATCTCATCATCGCCGTCTTGATACATTTTTTTCATTAGATTCATCAAGCTTGCGCCAGGATCGCTTTCTTCACCCATATCAGGCATAGATGGTGATTTTGCTTCCTTGATTCTTTTCTCTACCGATGTAACATGCGACCAATCCTTGGCCACTTTTTTTACAAGCGACACAACAATCATGTCAGTCTTTACCTTGAAATTGCTCTTTTCGGTGTCAATTTCAGCACATAAATTGTTAATCGGCAAATGATAATTTCTGTTATCCAGTCCAAATACATGTAGATTTAATGTTTTTTCTGAAAAATCGCAAGTGATGGCTTCTTTAGGTAATTGATGAACATCCTTCAGCGTTATATAGATCTTCACTGCTGTGTGAGTCTGATCCCATCCATAATTGTTTAATTTCACTTCATAGCACTTCTTATTAGTGTTGAGGGATGGGTTTGTTGGTTTAATTGATGCATCCTTGTTCTCTTCAAGTATTTTGGCTAATTCTGTCTGTAGCCTTCTAAGTTCAAGTGTTAATACATCTTTGATTCGTTGTCTACGAGCCTGTTCGAGCAAACTGCTGAGTTCTTCAATGTCCAATCTTACCTTCAAAAAATACATCAAAAATAAAATTTAATTGTCTTTCTAATATATAAATAATTCTTTAGTAATATATATAAACAATTCATTAGTAACTCTTAAAAGTTATACACAAAATCACATTAATGCTATCATGAGTAAAATTTCATTCTAGTATTTTTTACCTTAGAAATAAAAAAAAGCCGTTAAAAATACCCATAAAATTAGTGTTGCCAGTAGTCACGTTTTTTAACAACATTAGAACGAAGTTTGCATGGAGTAAAATTTCACCGTTGTAACGTATATTATACAAAAGACATAAAATACAGTAAAAGAAATCATTTAATTGCGTTTTATATAGTACATTTCTCATGTTTTTTTCCCTCCAAAATATAAACACACACTGGTTTCATTTTACACACGTACGAAGTGCAATAAAGTGCAAGTAAAATTTGATTCGAACAATAATACTCACTTCTTCAACCTTCGTCGACATTGTCAATGAGTTTTAGTTCGTTGACTGTTCTTGCAGATGTTACAAATGTAACACAAAAGTTTCACACAAACTGATACAATATTCAACGCCCGTCCTCGACTTAGTACCAGAGCTATCTGACTGACAGCATGCACCGCACTGTACCAAAACGCGATAACGAATTCTCCAGAATCTTCTGGTTTGGTTTGGTGTTCAATGTGTTCATTGTTCATATAACCGTGTAGAAGCATAATGGCGGCAAAACCAATCAGAAAATTGTTCATCTGACCGGCGCGAAGTATAAACAACGCAATACTTCAATACATTTAAGTATAATTACGTACATATTTATATCTAAAAACCGTAAAATATTTTATTTAACGTACAGTAATAGATAATTAAAACATTATACACCATGGCGACCATAAAGTTTTAATTATTATTTTATAACACTTAAGCACATCTTCTGGATTTTTTTGACGGATCTTGAGCAATTTGTATAATAATCTGGAATCTTTCGGAAAAGAAAAATATTTGTATACATGAAGAAACAATTATTTACATATAAAAAAAATATTTATTTCCTTAGTAAATTGAACGTGAGAAAACTACAATTTACGCATATAAAGCGCCACCTAGTCATTCTCGAGTATTGTAGGCTTTCCAATTAATCTATTATCATCTAATGAAATAAAACGATTCTTTTTTGTGGGAATAGTTTTGATCGTTGCAAAAATGTGTTATTTTTCTTTATACCACATAACATACACCTCCTAAACTTCTGAATGTATAATCATTTATTTTTACAACTTTGATTGCAATAGAGAATTGTATTTATAATACAAAGATTGTACTTATATAATACAAGATTGCATTTATAATACAAAATTCAAATCTAGCGATTGTTTCGGACAGATATCCTTGAAAATACTTCGTTCAATTATCGTTTTTTTTTTTTTTTTTTTTTTTTTTTATGTCACAGGCCACCACAATATGTCGATGATTAATTATTGCAAAACGGCAGCATTTGCAGCTATACTAGGATTGTTAATAACTTCGCCCAAACTCTCGAGCAATTCTTTTCTATAGTCATCGAAATCGCCATCAATCGGGTTGATCTGCTGATTTTCAATCACGTAGAGACAGCATTCTGTATCTCGGATCAAACGTTCATCGTGCGAGACGATGATGACACCACCTTTGTATTCGTTGATGGCTTCAGCCAGTGCGTCAATCGACTCGATGTCCAGGTTGTTGGTCGGTTCGTCCAAAATCACTACATCTGGCGCGTTCAGACAGAGCTCGGCCAGAGCTACGCGCGCCTTTTGACCGCCCGACAGATCTTTCATTTTGATGGTATGTGCATGAGAACTAAGGCCGAAGGTGCCGAGCTGTTTGCGCGCCTTCTCATATGGAAGATCGAATAAACGCATCAAATATTCCGATGGGGTCTCCTCAGCGGTCAAATGTTCACCGGAATGCTGATCAAACCTTCCTATCCTCTACAAAATGGAAATTAATTTGTTTTGTAACATAAGAACAGACAGTATTAGATAACAGTGTACATACCAATCGATGATTCTTCGAGAGTTCTCCTTTTTGAGGCGTTAAATCGCCTATTAACAATTTCAAGAAGGTTGATTTGCCAACGCCATTAGGACCAACTATAGCTACTCGAGAATTTAAATCTATACCAAAGTCCGCACCAATAAACAGTGGTTTTTGTCCTTCATATGCAAAGGTTACATCTGAAAAAAAAAAAAATTAAAATAAATTATATTCTGATATATGAAAAATCATTAGATAATATTATATCAATATGTAATTTGTTACTATTGAAAATAGAACCAAGTTTTCGTTTCGACTTACTTTGAAGACCAAGGATTGGAGGCTGAAGTGGTGGCGGATCTGGGAACCTAAATTTCACTATGTATTCTCTCGGTCTTTGTAACAATTCCGTAGGTCCGGTGTCTTCTTCTTGTTTCTGCATCTTTGTTCTATTTTTCTCTTGTTTTCTAGTGAGAGCTTCTTTTTGTTTCTTCTCTGCTTGTTTCTTACTCTGTCCAGCTGCTTTCAGATCTTTCAATCTCTTTTCCTGCTTTTCGTACGCCTTCAACATCTCTTTCTTCTTTTGCTCATACATCTTTTTAAACATGCTATAATTTCCTTTATAATAAAACAATTTCTGCTGGTCGAGATGTATGATGTCTGTGCACACATTGTCCAAGAAACTCTGGTCATGTGACACGATTAACAAGGTTTTCTTCCAGGCTTGCAAGTAGTTATCCAACCAGATTACCGCGTTAAGATCCAGATGATTCGTAGGCTCGTCCAACAGTAACAATGTCGGCTCCATGAAAAGTGCTCTCGCGAGCGAAACGCGCATTCGCCAGCCACCGGAAAAATTCTTTGTCGCGCGATCTTGCATTGCACGACTGAATCCGAGACCAGCGAGAATTCTCCTGGCTCGAGGTTCTGCCGAATCGGCTCCGATAGCCTTTAACTCATCATAAACCTAAAATATTACACATAAGTATTGTATTTTAAAGGTTCCAACAATTATAACATATGTTTAACCTTAATCCTGTAAATCGAACATTAATCTGAATGACTTTAGAAACTGAGAAAATCTCACTAACTATTTAGTAGGAAAATCTCGAAAAAAAATATCAAAAATAACATTATTTAAAAATTAAAAAACTGTGTTAACATATATAAAACTAAACTAATTACTTCTTGCAATCTGTTCTGTATACTAGTGTCTCCTTGCTCTGCCATCTCCTCCAGCTTCTTGCATTCTGCTTGAAGCTCTTTGCATTTTACATCAGCATTAAGTACTACTTCTACAGCTGGTGTATTATCTGCTATGACTTCTTGCTCACAGTATAATACATCTATGGTAGGTGGAATATTGAAGGCTCTTTTGGCTATATGGCGAAGAAGAGTAGTTTTTCCATGACTGCAATTAAAAATCAGATGTTAAATATAATATATAATTCTTTTTTTTACATAGAAGACATTATTGTTAAATTACCCATTAGGTCCCACAAGACCATAGCGTCTGCCTTGCGCTATCAACAAACTGGCATTGGTGAAGAGCTCCTTGCCTTTGGCCGCTATACTGAAGTTCTCCACCTTAATATCAACTGCGTTATCCAGCTGCTGATTACCACGTTGTTGCGTCTGACTCTGTGAGACAGTGAAGTTGGTCTCTAGTTCGCTATGACCTTGACCACCAGCTTTTGTCAGCATTTCCATCGTTCGCTCGTACTCCTGTTGCTTCTTCAGTTTCTTCTTTTCCTTATGCGTGAGCTTCTTACTCGGCGATTCTGCCTCGATCTCCATATCCGCGAGCTTCTTCGTGACATCCTCGGTTGCTCCATTCTCAGCGGACATCTCAACAGATTTCTCAATAGATTTTCCGACAGGTTTCTCAACAATCACCTCACTGTCCTTGATTTTATTATTCTTCTTTGCCTTGCTCGACATCGCTGCACGTAGTCACAAGCAGTCACACGTCTTAACCTAACCCTAACCTTTCTTTTTCCACATGCACAAAAGTAAGTTGCATGGAGTTGCACACGAATCCAGCTGCATTCAATTAGCTGAAGAGAACTGTCGTCATACACGTGACGTAATCATAGACTTAATAATAGACGGAACACTCATGTAAGAGGAGCTGAAGCTTCGTTAAAAGAGACAGAAATAGTCGTGGAGTAGTTCTCTTCTTTTCTAGCAGTGAGTTGATTGGAGGCCGCGGCAAGCCGAAGGAGTGGTGAGATCTTGAAAAGACAATATCATCTAGATAATAGACAAAATCATCTTGAAAAGACAATATCATCTAGATAATAGACAAAATCATCTTTGGATGGTGAGGGTAAATGGCAGCTTTAATTTACTTTCACACCACCTGCTTTTCACCAATCAACGTTCAGTGTCAAAGCGCCGGTGTCTGCATGAGGATCCAGCCTTACAAACTATGCGCGCACACTGTGCTTGTGTGCGTACGTGAACATCGGGGCGGTGGGGATACCCCGCTTCAATATTCTCGATGCTGGCCGGCATGATCTGGCATCTCCGGGTATGAGCATAAGTAACGTCGCACTGTCAAGAGTGCAACTGGTTTTTCTTCGAGTTTCTTCAGTATTTAATATTTACAATTTGATAATAATATAATATAGTGGTTAATTTGTTTTTAATTGTCGTCAAATGGTTGCGAAAACATAAGTTGTTGAAAGGGAACGTTTTGCTCCAATAAAAACGCGTTCGTCATTGATGTTTGTCGAAATGCAGCACAGTTGAACGCAATACTGCACACGAATGGCAGTGTGGGAGATATACGTGTTTAATCGTAAATTAGCGAGCTTCAAGTGAGTTGTAAATTAACAACATAACTTCCCCGTATTACAAGGCATGTAATCCAGTAGATTTGATGGTCATTAATATCGTGTTGTATCTCTTTGTCAGCAAGGATAACCTTTTCTTTGTCCAGGCAAGTTTGTTTTATATTTTTACATTATTGATTTTGTACTTTATTTATTGCGTTGCCTAGTGGCAAGCTGTGATTATTGCATATTCACCCCTTGTTGCTTAAGAATAAAAGGTCTAAATATACAGTACATATGTGTGTGTATGTAAAAATAAAAGAGCTGAGATTGTGATATATTTGATTTCTCTTCCACTGCTTTTTTTTAATTATTATAAATTTATTATACAGGTGATCGTCGTTTATTAATGTAAGGATATTTTATAATTTTGTATGTGTTGTTTCTTGATATTTAATAATTTATAAATATATGAGTGGAAATTTATCTTCTGACGCTACAATTTTAGTCATAAGACTAGGACTAGGTTTAGAGATGCCTGCTGCAGCTTTGTTCATGATTACAGGGTGCCAAACATGGCACAAGAGATTGAACCCGGCCTATTTCTCGGCAACCTTACAACTGCTACAAATATTGATTGGTTGAAAAAAAATGGAATAACTCACATACTAACAGTAGACTCCTGTCCATTACCAAGAAAGATACAAGAACATCTTCCTCATTTAATTACCAAATATATTCAGGCGACGGATATTCCGCGTGAGGATCTTCTTACACATTTTGAAGATTCCTATGAATTCATTGATCGTGCCATCGAGTCCCATGGGAGAGTGTTGGTGCACTGTTATTTTGGTGTGTCGCGATCGGCCACTTTGGTGATCGCGTACATAATGAAGAAGCGCGAGCTGAGCTACGCGGACGCGTTCCAAGTTGTAAAGTCGAAGCGATGCTTCGTCGGACCGAATCCCGGCTTTGTAGCACAATTGCAGCTTTACATGGACATGGGCTGGGGCGTCGACAGTACCAACGTGCAATTCAAGATGTATCGGTTGCAGATAGCCGCCGACAAGGTGCGCAAGGCGCGCATTCTGCCTCAGAACTGTGTCGATCTCGTTAAGTCGGATCCCGCGTTAACGACCGTGCGCCCCGAGCCGACAGTTTATCGTTGCAAGAAATGTCGTCGCATTGTAGCAAGCGTCAGTAACATTCTACCTCATCTACCGGGCGAGAGACAGATCTGGCGACACATCAGCGCTAAGAAGGATTTTGAGAGCTGCGATAAACTGCTCCAGAAGAGAGAAACGCAAGTTGCGTTTTGCGACAAGATCTATTTTGTGGAACCGTTGGCTTGGATGCCCGATATTACGCACGCCGTTGAGGGCAAGCTGAATTGTCCTAAATGTAACACAAAACTCGGATCATTTAGCTGGATAGCCGGGATTCAGTGTCCCTGCGGCAGCAAAATCGCTCCGGCCTTCTACTTGGTGCCCTCCAAGCTCGACTGGAGCAATGTCGTGCAGAACGTCCAAGTAACGGTATAGTACTGAAGTCTTAAATACAAAAAATATGTTCGAAGCACTGAAGAAATCGACTTCGGTATAAAATAAGAGAAGACAAAAGTCTTCGATTTTTTTTGTATTCGCGATGCGATGCAACTGAATTTTGCGCGCGTGCACACACTACATTACACACATACATATACACACACACATACATAAGAGTTTTAAGATTCTTAATACCCACCAAGAAGGCAATATTAAGAAATGAAAATATTTGAAAAAGCATCTAATAAGCGCCGTAATTGTTTGCGCGACTTGTAGATGTTTACCATTTTTTGATTGTTGTCTTGTTGAATTGTAATAACGTTGCGACGCAACGTAATATCAAATATTGATATACCATTTGACTCTTAGCGGTTACCATAAATTTTATATAAAAGTTTTTTGATATTTTAAATAAATAATTATATATTATTATTGTCCAAAAAAACGGTAGAAGAATGAGATGGCGAAGATGTGCTAAAAAAAAAAAAATTTTACTCACCGCTTTCTATATATGTGTGTGTGCGTAAAATTTTTCATTTGTTTGTTCTTTATTAACATATTAACTCATTAGCGTCTTTTTATGCTGTAGAGAGTCCAAGAAAGATCCTATAGTACTTGCTGAGAGTTGAGAGACTAAAATGCAATTTTAAGAGTGAGACGACAGATGCGACCAACATATATTCGTCGGCTGACTATATTCTAATTCTGTGCCAATATATATTTCGACATGTGTACATATATATATATATATATATACATATATATACATGTATTTGTTACGTACATCTCTGTATGTTGTACTTTTTTATTATATACGTATAAGTATAGGCTCAGTGAGAATGAGAAAACACATAACTGAAAAAAACGTTCTCCGATCTCATGCTTCTATTGCACAATACCGTCTTCATCTATACCGTCTACATATATATGTACTCGTGTAAGGCTACAAGAATTTTTTCGTAGAAACAAATAGACACATCTCTGTGTATGTATCTTGTGCTTATTAAAAATATTTCGATGTTCTAATTGCATTTGTTGCATTACTTCCACATACAAGTAATAACTTAATACGCTGATTTATTGATGAGAAAAACAAAAACGCTATGATACTTATCTATTCGTTATACCCTGTGTACTCAGAACTTATGTCTAAATAAAATCGGTGAATGATTATCATTGGTTAAGGCACACATCGGACGTTTACATGTTAACAGATAATCTCTACAAAAAAAATTCGCGCGTATAACAACTCGAGACAACCAACGCGAACTTAAAACTTCTATCTATCTTTGGTTTTTCCGCGTTTTTAAGCGCGTCGAATTGATTTTACAAAATGCATAAAATACGTTTCTCGTATTTGCGTCACGTCGAGTTGTACATTTAGAATCAAAGAATGGAATAAATTTAAACGAGCTGCCCTGTAAAGAAGAAATTTCAGTTCGACCTTTTTTCAATGACATTGGAATCACAATTCTCATTTCGAAAAGCGTCGGGATGCTCGGGAACGGTATCACATACTCGCGTGCATCGCTGGATACGTCGAGGCGTAAGGATGCGCTCGCAGTCTCAGGGTGCTCAGACCGTTCACGGCGGTTCCGTCCAGATGTCCGTGATGAATGTCGGTTTGGTGATGATGGTACGGCGACAAGCCGACGTTCGCCAAACCGCCGTTCGCGACGAAGTTGTGACAGCCGGCGGCCGCGGCGGTTTGCACCGCCGTGTAATGTTGCGGAGTCGTTCTCCAGTATTCGCCGTAGGAATACTGAGTCTGAGAGGTTGTATTCGCGTTCTGCGACGATTCCGCATTGCCGTCCGCGTGCTGCGGGGTATGCGACACTCGGATGGGACGTAGCGGTAGCGCAGCTTCCATTTCTCTGCCCGCGGAAACGCCGCGGCTCATCGCCGAGCTCCGCTCGTTCCGTCGGAACTTCGCCCGCCTGTTCTGGAACCACACCTGCAGAAAAGAAAAATTTATTTTTCTTCCCTTTATTATTCAAAGATCAACAAAAACTAACGTATCTTTACGTAACAAATGCTCGTTTTGAAAAATAAACTATTTCTTTACATTTTTTTATTTTTTTAATTTTATTCTCCACATTATTTTTGTATCTCTGAAGTGGTATCTTCTTTTCATAACTGCTGAATATCTCGATTTTAATCGTATATTTAGCTTAGCACTGCGATATCGCGCAATTGAAATTTCTTTCAATCTCCTAGAAAAAGTTATTCATCTCTCGCACAAGTTCTACGAATAATGTATCACTGAAGATTGTTATTTCACAACAAATAAATCCAACTCAAAAGATCCGTGCGAATTTTAGAAATATATATTTTCAGTTCTAAAAGCTAAGATCAAACTAAAAAAAAAAAATAAATTTTAACTCGGAGGACGGTTTCTGTATCAAAAACTTTGTTTAACGAAAAATCTCTGAGTTTGATCGCATCTTTCTATTAATGCTCATGATCATCTTTCTCTCTTCCTCTTCTCACTCTCCCTCCTCAAGTTAAAAATCATCGCGGTTGTGTCTCGGCTTGTTCAAGAGGAAACCAGAGAGAGAAAGAGAGAGAGAGAGAGAGAGAGAACGGAAGGATGCGACGCGCCGGCCGAAGACGGGACAGCGTGACGGCTCCTGGCAGGCGTACCGACGCCCGCCGCAGACAGACGGTCGAATAGACAGACGCGTGTACGCGGCATGGACCGCTGGCGACGACGACGTCGATGCGTCGCGTCACGCACACGTGTTCGGTGCACGAGGCCGTAGAGAACGGCGCAGATGCTGGAGCGCGCGTCGCCATCAGGCTAATCATAGCTCTCCTATGCCCTGACAACCTGTCTCCTCCGATTTTCTGCCTAGCTGTCCGCGACCTCCACCTTCCATCTCTTTCTTCTTCTCAGTCTCATACTCGTGTCATCTTTCTTTCCCTCGTATTACTGACGACGCTGGGTTCGGTACAAGAACACATGTGCGCGTCATGATACTTTCTCGGACGGATAGTCTTCTCAGTTACTGAGTGGAAGACGGCTTCAAAGAGCGCGGTCCGCTCGTTCTGTGAGTCCGTCGCTCGCCTCGGATGACTGGTTAACTTGGACGGTTGTACGTGTCTCGAAGAAGCTAAACGTTCCGCCACGTTCCATTGTTCTTGTACAGAGAAGACCGTCGTCAAAAAAAAAAAAAAAAAAAAGATAACGTCTCGGTGTATCCCGCGATTCCCCGATTTCTATTTAACTACGAACTATTTTCCGCGTTTTAATTCAATTACACTGTTTAAAACGATGTAAATTAATCTCGTCATATTTTTTACTTAGAGTTTTAAAAAGAGTCACGTACATACGCGCGAATATAGATATTCAAATATTGTACGTATAAAATGCACATTGTATCTATATTTGTAAAATACACATTTATAGAAACGATCGCGCACAAAGATATAAGATTAAATTATTAGAAAAAATAATCTTTTGTGTGTTTATTTGCATCTGTTAACAACGTCGTCATCGTTCACAAGTGAAATTAAAATTTGAAAGAAAAGATTAAGCAACAAAAATTTTTAACAAGTTGTCACTCAACGGGAGATCTCACCTGCACTCTGGCCTCTGACAAAGACACTCTCGTTGCCAGTTCCTCGCGAACAAAGGCATCCGGATAGTGCGTCTTCTCGAACACCCTCTCCAACGCGGCCAACTGTTGCGCCGAGAAGGTCGTTCTGCTTCTTCTGGGTCTTCTGTTTCCAGCGGTAGAGGTTTCATTGCAGTCTGCGAAGCACACATCAAGTGTATCTAACAATTATCTCATGCAAGCACTTCAATTTCAAAACTTCATATTTCGTTAATATAATCTAAAATAACATAGAAATATATCACGTCACGGGAGCGAATGTGTGTCAATCTTGTTTAGAAGATACTTGTTTGCGCGCACGTGTAAAAAAAAGGAGAGCCGCGCGAGAAGAGAATGCGAAATTATTTCTTCGACACAATCTGCCGCACACCGAAGAAACGCGCGTTCCCGAAGATGCCGCTCGTGATACCGGCGGTCTGTACAGAAAAAAGGATGCGAAAAAAAAAAGAGAGAGAGAGAGAGAGAAAAAGAGGAACACGCTAGTCGACTACAGCCGCGGCCATTCTTTGAATGACTCCACTATACTTGGGCATTCATCAAAGCGGCATAATGCGAGCAGCATGACTGGAAATGCGCGATTTCGATGAAATCAAGTACGCGCCGTGAGACGCGGATTGAACGTGTCGAGAGACGCACAGTTATGAGATCATTCGCCGTCGACGCCGTGCGCAACAATGTAATTTTTCACTACGTGTACTTTACATAAAAAAAAATATCTATAATATCAAGTACCGCTTTATTGTTTTTGTACTATTTATTCTTGATATTTATCTTTCCGAAGTATCGATAAATTTCAAGAAACTGGCGATGAAGAAAAGCAATAGTTGTTGCGTACGAAAAATATTTTCCGATTCCTTACCCAAGGAGTGCGTTGGCGTGGACAGTAGGCGTGAGACCGTGAAATCCTGCGGCGCGTGCGAATTCACGAGCTGCGACACTATCACGCCGTTATTCGCACCTTGTTCCGCGTTCGTCGCGCCCAACATTTTTCCTCGCGCTCGCCTCTCTCTCGGCGCAATTTTCCTCACGTCAGCATGACAATCAATAAAATTTCATTGCCAAGTTTCTCGGCATTTTGCGGAATCTTGAATATTTTAACGCATCTTCCTCCATGTATTTTTACATCGGTGACCGTTTCCTCGCATGCATCATCTCGCGCGGGTGATATAATCTCACCTGCGAGAAAAGGAACAACTTTGTAAAAAAAAAAAAAGATATCGAAATCGTATTTACTGCACGTTTAACTATTCTTGTATTATCATTAAAATTGTATATTTCTTATTATATTTATTATTTGATTTTTAGATTTTTAGTATAAAACAATATATATAGTAAAAATAAACAGTATATAATATATATAGTTTTTGAATATGGCGTCTATATATATATATATATAGTATATTATATATATAGTGAATTTTCAACAAAGTCCGAACCCCGGCGACTAGAATCGCGACTTAATTTCACGCTACATGATTATTCGGAGTCGGGATCTCAAAATATCATTCCGAAACTTAATATTAGCTCCGAATTGTAGTGGAAATTCAAAATATATGAGAAGACATGGAACGAGCCAATTTGCGAAAATGTTGATGAAAATGTGTGCGAGATGAATTCGAGTTGTGCATCGAGGCAGACATTTGTATCATTCTATTTTGGATCGTATTCAACTAAGACGCTAGATTTACGATGTAAATATCGTTGTACGAAGCATGAGAGAGAGAGAGAGAGAGAGTTGTGCGTTGATACTTTAACGCGAAATCAAACGAGTTTTCATCGCATATGATACATCATGTACACAATTGTATCAATCAGTCTTCGCGGTAGTGTATATTAGTTATTGACATATATGTTTAACGCTAAATCTGGTCATTTTATTTATCTCACTTGACCTCGAATATAATCGTCCGTATTGGACGATTAAAATTCAGAATCGAGTGTCCACATTTAGCACCAAGTGAAGCTAAATAGAGATGCGCGACATATGCGAATCTAAATCTATTCTGAAAAAAAGAAAACTTGGTAGTGCACAACTGAAAAAATATATGATTCAATATTGCTGCAATTAACTGAAAACAATGTGCTCACTTTGAATCAATTTTTCAAAAGAAAATTTGAGAGAAAAATTTACTCGAAATACAATTCTCTCGACTGAATTAAATCTCGTAAATTTTTTAAGTGTCAGACTACTGTTGTGGCGAACTCTTGAACTTAAACGCCACGTATAAACTGTTTTATTGATTTAACAGACGCGATCATTAAAGAACAATTATTTACAGCGGAACGGCAGATACGAATGGAACGGGCACACGTTTATGCGTAATTTGTCTCGGGAAATGTTAATTAAAGCATTTCCGAGCTCGAGCGTGACGGTGCAATTAGGGCCACGTGCCAGCAGTTGCAAAGTGCGCGCGGCATGTTCGTTCATTCTTCGTATCCGAACACGACGATTTTCTTTCCAATTTATTCGTTCAGTAAATTTTGGTATATTTGGCTCGCGATCATCTTTATTAAAATCCGAATCGCAAAATTGACATACGCGACAAATCGGAGCTCATTGGCTTGTGAATTATCACGATCGCATACACTGTTGCGTTTGTCATTGCGGTTCTATCCAATTTATATATATATATATATGTATATATATGCGTACGTTAATACATATGTGGTAATATATGTCGTTTAATTTTCGATTTGTCACGCGCGTCTGGCTTTCCGCTGAAATTTGTGTGTGTCTGTCACGTTTTTTCCCCCACTGTCTAAAAACATGCTAATTTCGGAATTTATGAGCGCAATCGATGGACAAGATTGCGAAATGCGCCAGAATCTACGCGCGCACATGTTCCGATTAAATTACGATTCGTCGCGGGTTTTCGGCCCCCGTCGGACTCGCATTCTCAAAGTTTTTTACCATGAGAAGTAATTAATTAAAGTAATCAATTTTACTATTTTCAATAAAAAGCGTGTTGTTGTACATTTCTCACGCAAACATGGATTTTTTTTTACATATTTTGTAAGATAAATTTTTGTGCATTTTTATTGCTCTTATTTTCTTTTGGCCGTCTGTTAAAAAAAAAGAAATAAATATACATAAGTATATTTACATACATGTATCTAAAAATGTACGTTTTGTTGACAAATAAGTGTAATAATTGTCAATATATAAATAATTTACGTACAAAAATATACAATTTACAACGAAGTTTTTTTGTTGCAAGAAATTAATCGAATTCTTCCAATTCTGGAACGTGTACTCGAATCTTATTTTAGGCTGCCAATAGCCTAGCTGAGGCGATTCTCATCGAATGTCGATTAAACTTATTAACCCTTAAACTGCGGTCCTCGCCAATTGGCGATTCATCACGCAACAACGATCACGACTTCATCACCCCAACTTCGAAAGAGAGATGCGCGGATTATGAAAATACTATTTTAAAACTACACTACGGTCAGTCTTCTTCGAAAAAAAAGTAATTTTCATAATATATTTGAATTTTCTCAGAAAGTGCAATGATAATCCAGAGCTCGTATATAATCAAACTATTTTAATATTTTATTTCTTCTAACTTTGATCGCAGAGACTTTTAAATTTTCTGACATACCTGAAATTCCGAGAACTACTCTACTTTGCTCAACTTTTCTCGGACCGGGTCCAATCTTATAAAGCAAACTTGGTTAAAAAGTTTCTCTGTAAATAGAAAACTTTCAAAGAAAAAGTTACCGATCACCCGTTCACAAATCTCAATACACACGTTCCTCGATGCACTCCGGTTTTTAAACACACAGACACACACACAGATGTAACTCTAGAAATTCAGAAAATTCATTTTTGATTTCCAGGCCGAGGTTGTTACAACAGACTGATCGAGATGTTCGATCGCGAGATCACACTCGAAAGCGTCATTTTGCTCGGAACGGCGAGATGCCAACTGACTTGGCCGAGTTAAGACGTACTTAAAGGTCCTCATCGGCTCTTCACATCCATCTCTCTTGCTCTCTCGTTCTCTCCCGTTTTCCTCAGTCTTCTCTCGGTCCGCACAGTTCCTCGCTAGAGCGAACGGAGATAAATAGAGCGTTTTAAGAGTAGGTGGAGATTTCCGTCGCAAGCTCCACCTTCATTAGATGCTCATTGGTTTCTAAACTGCCACCGCGGTTTGAGACTGTCGTTGACGAGAGATTGTGTGTGTGTGTGTGTGTGCACGCGCTTTTATTAAAATGCACCGCGAAACGCGACGAGCGCGGTGAGGCAATCGATTTATTTTTACCAGAGTCGCTCTAATGTATAATGCAATATGTTTTTTTTCGCAAGTTTGTACAATGATAAAAACAAAGTTCAGAAAAATAACAAAGCTATTGATATCATCTGCAAAAAACAATTACATTCGACGAACCGCAAGAATAAAGATAAATTATATAATTTGTTGCACAAAATACTCGAAGGAATATTGACGAGCTTATAATATTAGCGGAAAAAAAGTTTTATTTTCTCCAGAAAATCTAAATGAATCTAAATAAATCAGATTTTTTTAGAAGGTGACTCTGTATATCGTTCAACGGAAATATCATATTCACGAAAGCGGAGAAGGCGTATTTAACGAACAGAAAAATAAATCATTTAATCGCGCGTGATGCATGTTGTGTCGTCATTTAACGTGTTAACAAAAACTTACGCGATGACGTATGGGCGCCGGCGCTCTCTCTCCCGATGGTTTCCACTTTCAAGGACATGTTATATACCAGTAGCAATTTTTATAAGCCTGAACACAGATCTCCTCTTCATCTTCTCCTTCCTCCGTTTCATCCTTCTTGTACCGGCGAGATCTCGTTACACAGGGGTGTCATATATTCCCTTCGCAATGTCCGATGTACGGTGTCGGTTGATTCGGAGAGTGCGATCTGGAAAGAATAAACTCTGTGTGTGAGCAGAAAATTGTGTGTAATCCGCTTTTCCCATTTGTCATAAATTTCTGTCCTCTTCATTCAACTCACTGTTAATTAAGCGATGCTCCACTTAGAGAAAGAAAAGTAATATCTTCTTCCTATTTATAAAAAAAAAGTAAAAATAATTATTTCTACAATTCATCCAATTTAAAACGTGAATATGTGATAGACACACCTCTATTTTATCTAAAAAATCGACTGCGACTACTTAGATATAACAAAGTAAATATATTTAAAAAAATAAATATTATAAAAATATTCCTTCGCGGACAAACTTAAAAAATGACCAAGTTAGTTTCTTGTCTGTGAAATCCATTATCTTTGCGAAAAACCAATATTTTTTCAATTTTGTTTTTTTTTTTTTAATCAAAAGGTGAACAATTCTGCGCTGATAAAAAAAAAACCAAATCAAACAAATCTCTTGTAGTTTCGAAGATACAAGCGTCTAATAAAAACTAATTTTATATATAAACGCCGATGCGCAATTTTTGAGTGGGTCTGGGAAATCCATGTCTGTCCGCGAAGGGATATAAAAGAATAGAAATGTAGAAATCTCTGAACAATATCAAGATCGTAATTTCTAAAAAGGATCGGAGATCGATCCTTCATAATTTTCTCTCTTTAACACATCCGTTATTTGCCACATTGCCGATTTGATGGAAAATCGATATCAAAACGGTAATGTCAAAGGGGTGCTACTCCGAGAAGGTTTATTCTCTTCTTTGATTAATACTAGTACTGTTCCTGAAATGACTTTTTCTGAAGTATAGTAATATCATGACCCGTGGCGAGATTGCCGTAGTGAAAGAAGGTTTATGGCATAGTAAAAATATTTTTAGGACCTTTTGGTGCAATGCTGCGTGATCTCTTTCTCAGGGAAACACACTTTTAAACAGAAATAGAAACATTGATGACCGAATAGATGTATGTGTGGGTATTTTATTGAGAGATTTTTAAAAAATGTATGTTGTATTTCTTTGTAGACCATTTTATTATTAATGCGTAAAGACGGGTCAAAATACGTTGGTTTCGAATAAAGAATTTGACATATTTTTTAAATTACATAAGACCGACGATTTCACCTGTACGTGCATTTAGAATGTAAAAATGTCGCGATTCCGTCGACTCGGGATAAACCAAGTCGCGTGCGGCGGGACTACTCGTTATCCTCGTCGCTCGTAACGTTTCTCTCACTGCAATAAGCCGTAAGAGAAAAAAGAAAGAAAAGAGAAGACGGCAATTTTATGGCGCAAAACGGTTGAAAGTGCGTTAAAAGCCGAACGACAGAGTGTCGACAGCTGACCGCGATATACGGGATGTCGCAAAGTTACACTCTCTCTCTCTCTCTCTTTCGAATTGAACGATCGAATTCGACGCAAGGTGATGGATCACGTGTCACACACGGAACGTTGACAGGTGTGACGGAATATCAATTTCACATTTTCTCTCATATATATTAATTCAGACATTTATATTTCAAGAATGAATAAAAGATTTACGTGTGCGAATGTGACTTCTAGTTCATCCTATGAGCGAATCGAGTGATACGAGCGATGTGTCACGTGCGCGCGAACACAAGCGCAACAATTACATCGCCGCGCGATTTTATTTATACGAAAGCTTTTACGAGCCTCGTCACTCTCGCCGCCCCAAATAAAACGCTCGCCGAACCACTTTCGAGAGCCGCTTAAAGCCGAATTATTTCGGCGATAATAAACCTCGGTGAGAACGTCGTCGCGTCGTCCGAGAGCCGATTCGGCGCAATTAATGAACACTTAACGCCATCGTCTCTCAGAACAATTGCGCCATTCGCTCTTCGACTGCGGAATGCGCCGGGATTCATAATACCGCGTCGAAGCGGTCGTGTGTTATCTCGCGTTGTGCGTCTGCCTATTTCTCGCATAAGAAACTAAAATAATACCGTCGCGCGATTCGAGGACAGAAATTTTATTTCGAACACAGACAAATTTGCAGAATTGTCGCACGATGAGTTTGTATCAACTCGCGAGATAAACGACTTCCATTGAAATCACCGAAGTTAAATATATTTCGAATCCGTGTAATTCGCGTCGCTGAATCTTGGTCTCGGATCTAGTTTCTTTGTTTTTTTTTTTTCGGAGGATCGTCTTGTTTTCCTGAGAAAGGAATAAGCCCGCGAGTTTCTGCCGCTGTTCTAGCCACGGCGAGACAGACGCGCGCGTCGCGACGTCGTGACACGTACACGTCGCGCGTCGTCCGCGGAGAATTATTAGGCGGGCCTGAAACGTTTTCTCGCGGCCCGCGTCGTTCTCGCGCGATGACGCCCAAGTCGTCGTTGTCGTCGTCGTCGTCGTCGTCCGGCACTTTTGTTCTTGCCGTTCATCTCGCTCGTCTTGTTTGCCTCTTCGCTCCCGCGTGATCGCGAGAGAACCTCGGAAATCCTTCGGAAATCTCGCCCCGTTCAACAGCGCAGTGACCCGAGACGCGCGAGGATATAAACAGCGAAAATATAACGGAGACATAAATCCGTCGCAACGTGAAAGTTGATGAAAAAGAGCCGGGATTAAGAAGAATTGCGCGATAGGATTTCGCTCCGCGAAGTGAAATTCTTCATCTTTGGTAAACAAAGTTCAGGATAGCTATGTATGTGTTAGTTATTGTGTAGCTTTTCGGAATCGAACTTCGCTCGGAATGATTCCAACTTTTATTGTTCTTCCTTTTTTCTTTTTCAAAAGAAAATGAAAAAAAAAACGTTACAAATCGATATATTATTTTCGATCGGATCAACAGAAAATAATAGATTCGACGGAAATTAAATTAATACTTTTTCAAAGTATTGGAAAAAAATTGTATTATTTTTGAATAATAAAGTTCTTCAACTCCTTGACATACAAAGACGTCTCGGATACGTCATGTGTGTTTCTCATGTCATTGTAAACATTGACGTATCTGAGACACACGCAGATTTAACACGCAGAGATGTCACCAAGTGCGCTCGAAAAATAATATAAGAAGCGAAACGACTTGGCAGTAAAAAAAATGTCCACACGAATGTTAAGTTAAAAAATAAATAGTATTGTTTGAACACGTCGACTTCGATTTAATTCGCATGTCAAAGAGTTAAAGAAACAAAGTTTACAAACCATAAAATAACATTAGCTCTTAAATTATTCATGAAAATTGCAAGGTTGCTATAAAGTCGTTGATTATTTTACGTATCCGCACAAGTCCGATTTTACACTGTTTTAGAAACGGAGCGATTTCTTCTTTGAATTATTTCGTTCGAAAAGAGAGTCTTTGATAAAAGTTAACTCGTACTTACACATAAAAAAAACTGTTTTCGTTCTACTTAACAACGTTCTCTCGTGAGAAATGAAATAGATTTGATTTGGGAAGCGTGTCTCCGAAGAGTTTGTTTTTTTCGATCAGCACGATTTCGTGAGAGATCGTAACAGAACGAGAGACGACGAAAGGTTGTTCGTGAGAGGTCTCTTCTTTGCCTTGCGGCCCGACGAGTGTCCAACGTTCTGTAACGCGATGAGGGGTCGCGTAAAGCCGCATCTGCGATCTTCGACCACCGTGACGCGGTGAATCGGTGGGGCCTGTGGAATATATAGTTTCCACATGTGCGAGAGCACGTGGAAACGTCGTTCGCAGGCTCTTTTCCATAATATTTCCATATCCTCGAGAAATGGTCACTTTGACTTTCGGCCACCACCTTGCGCTACCATTCACCGGACGCGTACGCGCGGTCTGACATGTTCTTACCGTTGTTACAACGCGACTGTTGGCGAGTACGTACATATACATCGAGTGCGTGTTGCGTTTTACTTTGCACCAAGTCGGCCGAGCGGCATAAGTTCTATGTGCTCTCGGCAAATCTTGATAAGAGAAAATTTTTCGCGCGCACAACGTGAACGTTTTCCTTGACAGGCAGATGGTTTAAAGTAACGCCGACCTGTCTTTTCACTTTCTGAATTGATTGCCGAGAAGATTGAACATCTATCGCGATAAAAAAAAAAAAAA